TGAAGAGACACTGATGAGTAGTAATAAATGGGAAAGCAAAAGAATGACCAGAGATAAGGTATTGAAACTAATGAATTTAAATGAAGAAGAGTTTAAACAGAATGGGGCATCAGTTGAAGATATGGAAGCGGTGTTTGAAGAATTTAAATTGACAGTCAGATTATATAACTGTATCGGTCAAAAGATTTATACTTATGACCCTGATAAGAAGAACAAAAACATCACTGTATTGTTTGGAATGATTAAGGGCAACCATATATATACAATGAATGACAACATCAAGAGCATAGCGCAAAAAGAATTAGAGGAAGATATGAAACTATGTGCTTCTACTGACTTTCATTTAAATAGCAAAGAGAAACCAGTTAAGTATGTTTTTTTTTAATGGCATTGATGACATAATGTGTATAGTTGAAGCGAATGAAGATGATGAAGATGAAGTGAATTTAGTGAGTGGCAAGAGTTTGAATACAATTTTTTGTGAGTTCAAGAGGGCAAAGTATGAGCCTAAAATCATAATGGGAGCAGGTGGCAATGTCTCATCACTCAAGGTAAAATTTAATGGGTTGATTTTGAACATCAGAAGTCAGAGTTTGATAGACTGCGCTGTGGATACTTGTATTGATAGTAGGGATGCTGATATGTTTAATGTAGTCAATGAGGCATTTTTTAATTTCAATAAGGGTATGTTCAATCCTAATCACAAGTCATATTATCATAATGATGACTTGAAAATATTTTCAATGGCACATAGCATAGCACCCAGTGGATACATTGAAAGCATCAGTGAAGGAAAGGATACACACATTGAATTAGATAGGAGGAAAGCATACACTAAATCTACAATGGATATTTTTACAGTGCCTGTCTTTTCTGAATTTGATATTTGGTTGAAGTATGATTATAGCAAAAGTGATTTTAACAAGATGAATGCTTTAACATTATATCTTGTTAAAAGCAAAATTAAAAATCTATTTTTCAATAGGACTTATAGCTTGATATATGGTAAGTTTTTGAAAAAATATGCTGATTATGTTGAAGTCATTTATTACAAAATTCCATCTAATACATACAAGGTTAATTACAAAAAACTGATTAATGAACTTTGGGAATTGAAACTGGATGAGGATGAGGAGAAGGACAAGTTGAAGAAAAAAATGATTGCTTGTATCAACATTGGCTTATTAGAAAAACAAACTAACACTGCTAAAAAGTCCATAGTGTTTTCAAAAATGATTGATGCCTTTTACTATCAAGAAAGGTATGGTGGAGATATAAGTATCATTACTGAAACTAAATGGGATGGTGAGGTGTATGATGATGATGATTGCTTGATTGAAAGGGATGATAAGGGGAATATCATTGAACAAGAAGTTGAGGAAAAAGAATGTGCTAAAATAGTGGATGAGTGTAAGCATTATGTGCTGAATATTTCTGATACAAAAACTTTAATGAATGGGTATAGGTTTATCAAAGAATTGATTTTACAACATCATAATCACGATATGAATGAGGCTTATGAAACACTTATGAGGGATGGTGTGAAGGTGTATTCAGTAAAAACTGATGCCTTTGTTATAGATAAATGTAATCTGGGTAAAGCAAAGGAGGTCTTGAAGTTTGGTAGTGAGATTGGTGAATGGAGGTGGTCTGATAAATTCAATTTTCCCAGCAAGGCATTTTGTAAGCAACCCAGTATTCTATGTGATATAACTGAATATGAAAATAAAACGGGTGATGTCAAGGATGAATGGAACACTGATGAAATAATAGATGAACATATTTTGAATAATAAGAGGTTGATGATTAGAGCAGAGTTCGCAGGTTCAGGCAAGAGTTATATATGTCAGCATTTACAAAATAGAAATTGCAGAGTTCTATTTGTTGTGCCTACCAATAATTTAAAACAAGAGTGCGGAGCAGAAGCAATGACCATTAATAAGTTTTTTAGTATATCTTATGGTGATGAGAGGCTTGAGAAGTTTGATTATTCTGATGTTGATGTCATAGTTTTTGATGAAATATACTTTCATAATGTGGGCAAGTGGGCTTTGATATGGGACTTCTGTAAGAACAACCCTGATCAAATTGTAGTAGCAACAGGGGACACAAAACAGTTAAAAAACCCAGAGAGAGTAAGCAATGTAATGTCATTTGAGAAGTATGCCGACCATTGTATAGATTTAATTTTCAAAAATAATATTATGCTATATGAATGTAAGAGGTTGAAGACTGAAGAAGATAGACAAAAGTTAAGAGATATTAAGAGTATGATTATGAACAATGAGCCTATACTTAATGTCATTGAAAGGCACTTTGGGTGGAGTGATGGCAATGAGATATGTGAAAACAACATTGCTTATACTAACAAGACTTGTAGAGAGGTGAGTAGCAGAATGAGAAAAATGAAAGGCATAGAAGATGAATATGTGATAGGTGAATATATAATATGCCGGAAGTATGTTAAGAATAAAGGGACAAAATTTAATGTAAATTTTAAATTCAGGATTTGAAACATTGTTGGCAATATTGTTGTTTTACAAAATGTGGCAACTAATGAGAAGCAAAATATAGAACTGAAAGTATTGAGAAAGCACTTTATATATGCTTACTGCTACACCACTCACTCAAAGCAGGGATGTAGTGTAGATGATGACATAGTGATATATGACTGGTATTGGACTTCTGTCAGCAGGGCAAGAGATTTAAATAGAGTTAAGTTTTATAAATATGATGCTGATGAGAATGACTTGAGCAGATTAAGAGTAGAAACATATTTCAAAAATAAAGTATCAAATTACATTGAGCAAGATAAGAAAAGCAACAGACCTATAGATGATGATGACTATGTGGATGTAGATTTCTTAATGGATATGATGAATACCCAGTGTGAGAATTGTAATGAGCCATTGGTTATAGATTTTGAAGATGGCAAGGTTTCATCAAATATTAGTTGTCAAAGAGTGAATAATGAACTGGCACATTATAAAAGCAACTGTATCCCAATGTGTGTTCAGTGTAATTGCGCCTTTTCAAATAAGATATTAATGTAAAATGGTTTTAAAGAGAAAATGGTTATAGATAGTATATAGGAGATGAATAGGTATGAAAAGGGACAAATATATAAGGTAGTGGACATAGGCTATAATATGTGCTATATTGGTTCAACGTGCCAATCATTGAGCAAGAGATTTTACAAACATAAAGAAAAATATTACCAATACACCAAGGGCAAGGCAGATTGTAATAGAAGAGTTAATCTTTTTTTTGATAGATACGGTATAGAAAACTGTAAGATTGAACTTTTACAAGATTTTCCGTGTCAGAGTAGAAATGAACTACTAAGACAAGAAGGAGAGCATATAAGAAACAATGATTGCGTAAATAAAATTGTTTCTGGAAGGACAAATGAAGAGTGGAGAAAAGACAATTATGAACATTACATAAACCAAAAAAGACAAAATTGGAATGAAACAAAAGATGAACAGAACAGAAAAAAGAGGGAATTTGCTAAAAACAACCCAGACATCATTAAACAAAGAAGTCAAGACAACTATGAAAAGTTTAAGGATAAGTTGTTAGAAAGACATTTATGTGGATGTGGAAAATATTATACACAATGCCACAAGAAAAGACACGAGCAAACAAAAAAACATCAAGACTGGCTAAAGCAACCAGAGCAGGAATAATTGATATAATTATTTTATTATATCATTTATTCTATAATGGCTGATAATAAGCAGAAGATTATTAGTGATATTTATTTTGATAGAAGCGGATATGGAAGCAAGGCTACTACTTTAAAAGATGCCAGAGAGCAAGATAAAACTATTACTATGAAAGATGTTGAACAATTCTTTAGAAAGAATGTTGAAATAAAAGCAAAGCCTAGAGGGTATAATTCCTTCACAGCACCCCATAATAATCATACTTATCAGATTGATTTGTTCTTTGTGGGATATTATGATTTTGATGAAGAGCAAAAGTTTAGAGGAGGGTTAGTGTGTATTGATGTTTTAAGCAAGTATGCCGTTGTTGTTCCAATTAAAACTAAAAATGGTGAGGATGTCCTTGAAGCATCTAAAGAGGCATTAGGGAAAATGGGTAAGAAGCCTAAAATGATTTATACAGATGATGAGAGAGCAATAGCAGGTGAAGACTTTAAAGATTATGTAGAAGGTGAAGGTATAACCTTACGTAGGACTAGAGGACACCCAGCATTTGCTGAAAGATTTATACGCACATACAAAGATATGCTTTTTAAAAGAGTAGAGGCTGATGAAAAAAAGGGTAAGGCAAACATACAATGGGTTGATTACAATTTAGAAATAATGCTTACATACAATGATAAAATGAAGCATTCCGCTACAGGTATGACACCAAAAGAGGCAAGGAAAGATAAAAATGAATTCAGAGCAATGCTGAATGTAGCATCAAAGGCAAAGAAAGAAATAATATACCCAACATTACAGGTGGGAGACAAAGTAAAGATAATGAGAAAGAAAGCAATTACAGAGAAAGAAAGAACTTCCCACTGGCTAAAAGGTTACTATGTTGTGCAAGAGGTTGCAGAAAAGTTGAACCAAAAATATTACAAATTAACTGATTACCCAAGATTGTTGATGAGGCATGAACTTTTAAAGATTTAGTGTTTTTAGAAAGCCTTGTAAGCATTTTTTCCCATACTTATGCCTACTTGATGCAACCATGAGATGGTTGATTTGATGTGCTCTTTTGGTTTCGGGGTTTTGTGTTTTGTCCTTCATTTGTTTTCCCCATGAATTTGTGTTCGGCACGTTTGGGTCATTGGCTGGGATTACTCTATGTTCCTTTGTCCTTCTGCCCCGCCATGGTTTCGTCATCAATCTCTTCTTCATCCTGTTGTCGGGGCGCTCAGCTGTTGGGAATATGCCAGTCAGAGGTTTGAAGCCACATGTTCTTGGAGAGCTTGACCTTGGAATTTGTTTCAATTTGAGCACCTTTGACATTCTCAATTGGAAAGCTACAGAAATTAGCTCTTTCAGTTTGAGTTTGGATTCTTGTGTCATGTTTCAGCATCTTTATGTTCTTCCGTAGCGTTTTTGCGAGTTTTTCCTCAAGCCACTCAGGGACGTTTTTTCTAATCTCAGGAGTGTCGGCATTTCCATGGCGCTCAAATCCGGTGTGTTCGCTTGCCTGATCCTTGCATTGTGCGTGAGCTGCGAGAACCTCGGCAAGGAGACTGAGAAAAGCGGAGCGCCTTTCCTCCCCAGGTCCGAGAACCTCGGCCAGGAGACTGAGAAGAGCGGAGTGCCTTTCCTCCCCAGGTCCGAGAACCTCGGCCAGGAGACTGAGAAGAGCGGAGTGCCCTTCTGGCCTCGGTCCGAGAACCTCGGCAAGGAGACTGAGAAAAGCGGAGTGCCCTTCTGGCCTCGGTCCGAGAACCTCGGCCAGGAGACTGAGAAGAGCGGAGCGCCTTTCCTCCCCAGGTCCGAGAACCTCGGCCAGGAGACTGAGAAGAGCGGAGTGCCCTTCTGGCCTCGGTCGCCGATCTTCTGGCCTCGGTCCGAGAACGTCGGCAAGGAGACTGAGAAGAGCGGAGTGCCCTTCTGGCCCGGTCCGAGAACCTCGGCAAGGAGACTGAGAAAAGCGAGTGGCAGTTCTTCCCCAGGTCCAAGAACTCGGCAAGGAGACTGAGAAAAGCGGAGAGGTCCGAGAACCTCGGCCAGGAGACTGAGAAGAGCGGAGCGCCTTTCCTCCCCAGGTCCGAGAACCTCGGCCAGGAGACTGAGAAGAGCGGAGTGCCCTTCTGGCCTCGGTCCAAGAACGTCGGCAAGGAGACTGAGAAGAGCGGAGTGCCCTTCTGGCCTCGGTCCGAGAACCTCGGCAAGGAGACTGAGAAAAGCGGTTCTTCCGAGAACGTCGGCAAGGAGACTGAGAAGAGCGGAGTGCCCTTCTGGCCTCGGTCCGAGAACCTCGGCAAGGAGACTGAGAAAAGCGGAGTGCCCTTCTGGCCTCGGTCCGAGAACGTCGGCAAGGAGACTGAGAAGAGTGGAGTGCCCTTCCTCCCTCGGTCCGAGAACCTTGGCAAGGAGACTGAGAAGAGTGGAGTGCCCTTCCTCCCTCGGTCCGAGAACCTTGGCAAGGAGACTGAGAAGAGTGGAGTGCCCTTCCTCCCTCGGTCCGAGAACCTTGGCAAGGAGACTGAGAAGAGTGGAGGATTCTGGTTCCCATGAGATGGCATGATGATCATTCACGGGCTTGCTTCGCCAACAGGGCGACTTGCAAAACAGTGCTTGCTTCGCCACCAGGGCGACTTGCAAAACACTGCTCTTGGCAGATGCTTTATGATTGACAAGGTCTGTATCAAGGTTTCAGGGTGTCAAATAGGAATAGGACATTGCTTCAATAGAGCATTCATGCCAGTGAGCCTTCGCAAGCTTGACATTCAGTGCATTCATGCCTGATACAAAGACATACCCTTCCAAAAACTTGAGAAGACGGGCACCAACAAGTCTGGGACGCACACCACACAAATCTTTTTCGCTCCATTTCGCCCCAAAAGTTTGGATTGCTGTGCCATTCACACCGTGCTGAGGTTAAGAAGACGTGGTCATCAACAAGTTCATGAAGGGCGGTTTGGGCATGGCAATTGCGGATTAAAAGAGATTTGAGATTGAGAAAGATGTGATGCTGTTGTGATATGCTAGTTTGTATGTATGCTGGTATGTATGCTGGTATGTATGCTGGGGGTTGGGATAGTATATTGGCTGGAGGCTGAGGCTTCCCCTATAGGGGGAGACTGTGGTAATTAATCCCATAATCTTCATAATAAATGATTATGAGAATTATGTTGATTATCTCCATAAATTTGAAGTGATGATTATGAAATTCAAACTCAAAATTACAAGAGGCACACCAACACTTTGAAGCATGAGGAGAATTTGAAGAAGAATGATAGTTAAAATTCATTTTATAAAAGTGAAATTGTCTTTTGTTTTGGTTTGTTGTTATGGTTTTTGGTATAGTCTATTTTATAATCTAGTGTATTGCTTATGTTGCTTTGTTTTTTTTCTTTTTGTTGTTTGTTATGATTTTATTGTTGATTATGTTATTATCTATAAGGTAAAGCAATCCCATCTTTTTGTTTCGACCGCTTTAAAATCTATTGTATTGTAGGGGGTGCGGTCTGTAAAAAGACGGGATTGCCCTAGGCTAACTTATATATATATATGTTTATATCATATTATCCCCCCTAATCATTATACTGTTTCCATGTGAACTGGACGCGTCTTCTTGGTTTTTTCCGCTGCGTTTTTGCCAGGGCTTCGAACCTTGGTCCGAGGCGTCCCATGGGGAGAGGGATGGGGTTGGCTTCAGGCCGTCTGAAATGGTGATATTTTGTGGGAGCCAATGATAGGATATCTGGGTCTGTTTGAAAATTGGTTGTATACCAAGAAGTCACAATTTTTCATGAGGACGATGAAGCAGGCTGGATTTTCAGTACCAGACTTGCAGATACCTAGATCGAAGAATTTGAGACTGCATGTGTTTAGACTTTTTTTTCTGCCTGACCTTGGAAATCTCGCCTGCCTCTAAATTCTCGCCTGGAGGGGTGTTCTACAATTTTGCTCAAGATGGCATTTCAAGCTTGAATGGACAATCTCGCCTGAATTGATGCTCAGATTAAAAAAATAGCTTGAGTCCCAAAAATGCTACTATTTGGTTTCAGCCCCACATTTCAGCCTCTTAGGCTGCAGGTATATATACATATATATATATATATAAATGAATAAGTAAAATAAATCAACAAGTTTAAGTATAAATAAATAAATGAATAAATATATATACAGTATATATATACAGATACGGCGCTGTCTAATTGCGCGCGCGCCCAAGTACCATGCCCAACCCAACCCAATGCCTTTGCACCTTTGCATAAAACCGCCCGCGCTTTGAGGCAGGCCAGTCGCCTCTGCGATGGGCATCGGCCAATCTAGATTTTTTTCCACAAATTCAAACCTTCAAGCAGTACTTGGCGAACGGCCCAATTTTTGCAGAATGGTATTTTAATATATGGTCAATTCGCGGAAGAAATCCCACGGTGCCCTTTTTATCATTCGGATCAAAGAAAGTACCCTCTGGTAAACGTTTACATAGCTATTGACAATGGCCCAGTCGAAATAGTTGATTTACCCATCAAACATGGTGATTTTCCATAGTTTTTTGTGATTTACCCATCAATAGCATGGTGATTTTCCTGACCCCAAGATCCCTTAAGACCTTCCGATTCCGGCACCGGACAGGACATCTTAGCAGAAGCATGGTCCGAGCAGATCTTGCCCGGCTGGCCGCCCATGGTGGCTGAAACCCAGCTGGATTCACCGTTGGTCATTTATATCATCGGTTGGTTTAACCTTAAGGCTCTAAGGTGATGTTTTATTCTCCCTATAGGGAGAATAAAACATCACCTTAGAGCCTTAAGGTTAAACCAACCTATATGTTTAAGAATCCACTCTTGGGGGATATGGAATGTTGGAATGTTCCTTTGATTTCTTGGAGCCTTTCAGCAAATCCAAAATTCTAGCAACAGAATTTTGGACCACACTCATGTCGAAAACACTGGAGGGCTTCGATGGTTTTGGGCAGCACCAGGTTCAAACCCTTCTCCAACGGCACGGACATCCGTTGATCCATTTTTGTCGGAACTTGCCATATTTTCTTGGAGTAAATCCAGCCTTTTTGGACAAGTCCATGTATTCCCATATTGTTAGTTCTCACTGATCACCCATATGATATCCCGCAAGATATGCCCATCAAATTTTGGTTTTGCATTCCCATTGCCCATTAGGAAAATTATGTTCCACCCGATCCGTGAAACCGGTGTACCTACACCCTCCAAATCCCCCAAACAGTTGGTAAAAGTACTGAAATTATAGGGTAAACCACTAATTAATGTGGGTAACACAATAATAAACCACCCATTTGGGAATTGTTTTTACCACCCATTTTTGGTGATTTGGGGAACGGTTTATTATTGTTTTACCTGCACTACATATTTTTATGGGTACAAATGGAGGGTCTAGGTAGACAAGAACTTGCCACGTTGGGCACATCCCAAGACAAAGATGGACAGCGCCCGTGTTGAACATGGGGAAGGCCGCCAGTTCCGAGAGAATGTGTGGTTTCCCAAATTATGGTAATGGGGATACACATATGGAGGTTTCCTAAAATAGGGGTACCCCCAAAATCATCCATTTATAGATGGATTTTCCATTTATAAACCATCCATTTTGAGGTACCTCCATTTATGGAAACCCCCATATTGTAAACCATGAAGGTTGGGAGGGTTCCCAATATTTTGAGACAAACATAGACAAATTCAAATGGTTTGGCGCAGGCCCAGTTGGTGTGTGTTGTGTGATTCAGGGCCGCCCAAAACGGCCGTTGACTCTCTCCTCATGTCCACCAATGGTTGGTTGAGTTGGGTCGGATTTTTTGATCTATGGAAAACCCGTCTGAAAACCACAGAAAAACCACAAAAAAACCTCAAAAATCCATGACAAGTTCATGATGTGTACCCTCTGGTAAACTAACATAGCTATAGAAAATCACCAGTTTTAATGGGAAAACTCACTATAAATGGTGATTTTCAATAGCTATGTTAAATTACCAGAGGATAGTTAATGTTTCCCAAAAGCCATGGATTTCCACGGCCAGAAGTCTGGACGAAGCTGTCCATTCGAGTGCGACGAGATGTGTGCGGCGTGGAACCCAGAGGGGGGAAATTTGTTTTGATCAATCTTTCTAAGTAGTGTATGTCACATATACTGTGTATGTATATATGTCTAATTTTGTTCACTTGCGTTTAGGTGACAAGTTCATTTCATGACATTTGGAGGTTTCCAATCCATGGGGGTTCCCAAAAAAATCATCCATTTATAGATGGATTTTCCACTAATTTCCACTATAAACTATCGTAAACTATCCAGCTATTGGGGATCCCCGGTGACGAAACCTCCGTTTCAATAGCACTTGGGCTACGAAGTTCCTTCAGCTTCGTGAATTTTGCTGCTGCTCGAGGTGGGCATGCGCGAGAGCAGATGAGCCAACAAGGATCGTGGCTACATGTCCCATTTTTTAAGCTAGGGATATATATACATATATAATTATATATATATATATAATTCTATATATATATAATTATATATACATACATATATCATCCCATATCATCACTATCAAAATGGGAAAAATAGTTGGTTTGTTTAGAATATTGTCATATGTTGATAGGAATTCTGTTTGAACTTTCCAGATATCTTCAATTAGTCTAAAACTGAAACGTGTCTAGGATTGGCTATGGTTGGATGGTTGGTTGATACTTGGTGCTTGTAGATTAGTGGTGAATGAGAGTGACGTGCGGTAACGGGAGTATCGTGTTTGTTATATGTTTATATGCTTGTCATAATCAACAGGGATCAAAGCACTAGTGGGGATATCATATCCGACTGAATTGGTGGGTCAATAAAGTATTGCTCGTTGATTAGGATTGTGTTTCATGCCCATATTAATCCATGTCGATGAATCATGATAATTCGTTAGGGGAATCATCCCCAAATGGCATGTTTTCTCACTTTTTTTCAGATTATATAGTGAATTACTACAATTCAGCCAGATATATCCCATTATACATTATACACACCTTATTAAATCCCTATGGAAATCCCTGTTAGATCCATATTCTCAGAAAATGGCCTCGCCTTTTTAGAGGCCTGGCGAGTGGAGAAGTCCTGGCTCAGAGGCGGTGTTTTCACATCTCACAGGGAGAAATGGGGAGAATCTTCACCGGAAAACATGGGCTTTTTCCGTATTTTTCCATGTGTGTTTCCCATGAAACTGGTTGCTGGTGGTTTGGAACCATGGAATAATATATGACTTTCCCATCATATTTGGATTGTCATAATCCCAACTGACGAACTCTAATATTTCTCGTTGGTGTTGGTCAACCACCAACCATGAAATATGGGCTGTGAAAAACAGTGATGTCCCGTCCAGCGTTTTGAACACACGGCTTTCACCAGGATGGGGTTCGCTGGAAACCGGTGCTTTCCACCTTGGCCTTATAGATTTGGAAAAACCCATGAAAAACACCATGAAGCAATGGATTTTTTTGGATTCTTAAGGGATGCCCATGGGGTACATAGTTTCTTGGTACCAAAGAAACATGGTTGCGGTGGTGTGGGAAACCCATATGTTTCCCGAAGAGAGGTATCGCATGGTGCGCTTGGTTGGAGAAGGGCATTTTACCAAGGACGGTTGGTTGGGACGGACGTTGGTTGGGTGGTTGGAAGTTGGTTTGCTAGAGAAGTTGGGATGTGTTTTTCCACATCTAGAGGTAATTCATGGTATTTATCATCATTCCATGTTTCTTTGAAGCTAGATTGGCATTTATTTCTGTAATGACAAACAACAGTAGGTTGATGATTGGGAATTTAGTGGGCATTTAACCATCACTTTCAGGGGTTTTAGCCATCAAGAATATGGGGGTATACGTGATAACTGATAGTTGGTTGATGATTTGTTCAGGGGTTGTATACTATGTTATACTGCCCTTTCTACATTGATAACTATGATAATTCACGAACTGGTAATCCTACAAGGAGGTGCCCCAGAGTTAGCTAAGTTGGTTTATAAGTCCAACAACTATGGTTTATAGGTGATATATCTATTGTTAATGGGGCTTATAGGCTATTTATAACTGGGGGGGCACCACCTTGTAATGAAGACCAATATTTGTTTTTTCCCCTGACAGTCCTATATGTCCTGGGTTGCAGTTTTCCATGAATATCCCCATGAATACCAAACCAATACCCTTTGGTAAACTAACGTTCGCAATGGAAAATCACCAGAAATATGGCCAATGGGTAAATCAACAAACTAAATGGCCATTTTCAAGTTCGCAAACTGTAACACTGTAACAAATTACCAGACGGTAAGTTCCATTAATCCCTATTGATCACCATAAAATCCATTAAAATCCCATTGAAATCCCAGTAAAATCCATTAAAATCCTATTAAAATCCCATTGAAATCCCATTAAAATCCCATTAAAATCCATTAAAATCCCATTAAAATCCCATTAAAATCCATTAAAATCCCATTAAAATCTCATTAAAATCCATTAAAATCCCATTAAAATCCATGTTCCCAGGTCGTTTTTTTCGATACCTCGCCTTTTCGCCTCGCCTTTTCGCCTCGCCTTTTCGTTGTCGTCAGGCCTATCTGGCTGAGGATCAGAAGGAACATCGCCAGGCCCTGGTCCGAAGTTCCAGGGTTGAAAATGGGGTAAAGGTGGTGGTGCCCCCCCCAGTTATAGGCTATAATCCCATTAACAATAGATCTATCTATCTATCTATCTATTTATCTATCTATCTATCTATCTATCTATCCATCTATCTATCTATCTATATATATATATTATATATATATATATATGAGACCTATAAACCATAGTGAAATTGGACTTATTTGCATCAACTTAGCTAACTATGGGGCACCACCTTGTACCAAAAGATGTGGAGAAAACTCCGGTTTTGCCACGTTTTCCCGTTCGGAATATGATCCTTTTGCTCATGGTGGCCTTGCCACAGCTATCTTTACAGGAGAGTATATAATTGCAAACCATATGATAAGAACAATTGCCTTACTGGCAAAATGCTGTGATGATTCCTCAGAGTTTACTGTTTATGAGTTTCTTGTTTTTCACACGCTTCGACCATGCGGCACGGCATCATAGCTGATGAATTTCAATGTTTCCCAGCCCATGGTGAAAAAGCTAAAGATCAGATATAGCCTGATTTTTTGCAACCCAACAAAAAGATGAAAACAAAAACCTAAGGTCCTTCCAAAATCCTGTCAAACTCAAGTTCTCCTTCTATTTCTTTTTGAGGCTTCCCAAAACTGTGGAATTTCGATGCGTGACCATCATCAACAGACCGGTGCAACTCGAATTCGCCAGTGACTGAGCCCAACACATGGCGTACGAAGAAATTGCTTCGAACAGAACATAGAATGACTGGACCAGAGAACTTGGACACTAAAGATTGTGCCAATAGAAGTTTCAAAAAAAAAAAAATCTTTGGAACAATCAGTCCCAAGAACTTGTACCAATAGAAGATTCTATTCTCTTGTTGCACTTTTCAGAACATGTACTATGACTGCAAGATTTACCGAAACTTGGACGAGTTCCCTACAAGGTGGTGCCACATAGTTAGCTAAGTTGGTTTTTAAGTCCAATTTCACTATGTTTTATAGGTGATATTATAGGTGATATATCTATTCTTAATGGTGATTCTAATCTATTTATAACTGGGGGGGTACCACCTTGTGTACGATCAAACCAAGAAACAACAGAAACAACGGGACGCCACAGGTCTGTATCAAGCGACATCGGAACCTTCCAATCGAGGCGCCGGGTGATGGTACCCTGCGGCAGAAGCCGGTCCGATGTTTGATCATCAGATGATTACCCTCTGGTAAAGTAACATAGTGATTATATGGTGATTAATGGTGATTATTATGATTCATAGTGATATTATGATGATATATGGGGATATACCCTCTGGTAAACTAACAATTTGCGAACTTGAAAATGGCCATTGAAATAGTGGATTTACCCATTGATAGCATGGTGGATCTTTCCATAGTTATGCTCGTTTACCAGAGGGTAAATGTGAAAAAAAAACACTGAAGAAAAAGGTGGATCATTTAGCATCAAACGGATTTTGGAAAATATCAAGTTTGGGGGGTTCCAAAATGGGACATCTTTTGGACCCGACATGATCATCCAAGTTATATATGGTTTATGTTTGACAAGTCCATCCATGGGCCATTGCGGTCACGACCTTTAAGGTAGGGTAGCTGACACAAGGGCCAGGTTATCTCCGTGGATGGTCCCCATGTTCCCCATGTCCGTCATGCAAAAAGTCTATCTTTGGATACGTTGTTCTTTGGGTACTAGTATCCACAGCATTAGTGCCCACAAACATATCGGAGTATCTGAAACCTTGATTTGATCCACAGGACAACCAACCCCAAACAGTTCCAGCATAGCAGGCCTTGGCTGATTTCTTTGTGGTGGCCCAAAGATTGCATGAGGTTGACCGAGGCGAGTGCCCCAGCTGGTGGGCACAGCAGTTGCACGAAAAGTTTCGAAGGGATGCGTTCCAAAAATTGGCTCGAGATTTATAGGATAATGAATGATAATAGTAATTTAGGTAATGAATTCAGCCATCAAGATATTTATCACCGATATAGTTTTATCACCGATATAGTCTATATAGTTATAATATTGTGATTCAGAATCGAGTTTTATCACCGATATAGTTTTATCACTGATATAGTGTTATCCCCTTATCAATAAAATTGGGATTCGGAATCGGGTTTTATCACCGATATAGTTATAGGATGTTATAGGCCATTCATCATCTATCAGATCTATCAGGATATCTAATCCATTCTAATCTGGTTTCATTAGGTCTGATTTCTGGTTTCATTAGGAAACTAGAAGATATCCTGATAGTTAAATATGTATCCCTAGATCCTATATAGTTATAGGCCATCCATTCTAATCCTATAAATTCTGGTTTCATTAGGACGTAGGGATGCCTTCGGATGCCTTCGGATCGCGCCTAGGCGGCCGTTTCTTCCCAGTCTTGCAGGACGCCTTCTTTGACCTCGCAGGGGGGCCTAGTGGTCACTGGTAATTTAAAGGACAATTTGGTCCATTCATGGATGATTTACCTACTAAGATTTAATACAGTAATTCGTACATAGTAATTCACAAAAGATAATTTATATACATCATCTATGAATTACTATGTACGAATTACTGATGTAATTCATAAGTTTTGATTTTCAGGTGATGTTTAAAATCTACCAGAGAGATCCAGTACAGTACTCGTGTTGTTTCATGGATGGCTAGAGAGTTCCTCAGGTCGGGTACACCGTGGAGAGCATGTTGGAGGCACCGGAAACTGAAAACTGCGAAAGCTACCTGCAACTGAAATGACTTTTGTGACTTATGTGTTTGAAGCTCGTGAGATGCGATGAATTTAGGTCAGGAAGTTAGGAAGCTAAAAGGATTTGGGAAGTCTTCACCACCGCAGGGGAAGAACTGCTCAGTGCTGGCCACTGAAAATCCGGCTTTCTTCCACGATCTCCCGCCTCTCGGTTCAACTAGGATTTGTTGTGCCTTTTGCTGACCTTTTTGCCCCAAGTATGTGCGGTCAACGCCAGAAAACACTGCCAGAAAGAACTAGTCACTGGTTGGTGGTTTGGAACATTTTTGGTTTTCCATAATATATGGGATGTCATCCTTCCCATTGACTGTCATATTTTTCAGAGGGGTAGGTCAACCACCAACCGGGTCATATTGATAGATGCAGATCCGCAGAATGAATCCAACAGTAATCCCATGGCTCAACTTGAGCCAACTTGAAGTTTCCAGATGCACTGAGGAACCTGCGTTTGGTGGCATTTGGCGTTCTCTCAGGCAGGGCGAAACTTTCTTGTGCTCACTGGACATGGTAGTTTGCTGTGCCGCCACTGCAGGTTTGATGCTGTTAGACAAGGCGGGCATCGTCCACAACGACATCAAGCCTGACAACTTGATCTGGACGAAGGTGGGTAGGTGGGTTTGGACGTTGATGGTGGCACACAAACAATAAGGGATTAACATGGATGAAGTATCAAAGCTTGGAGTGTAATGTCAGGAAGAGCAGGTTTCCAACAAGATTCGTTTCCAGCAAGAATTGTGTGGGCAGCAGAAACAAGTATAAGGTACCAAGACATGAGTGTTTTGGATCTGTATGGCTTCAGACAGTGTCATGTGTGACTTACACTTAAAACCGGTTCTACAATTCCAAATTCTAACAAGTTAAGTACAAATCCCAATCATTCAATATAAATCAATATCAATCAATATCAATCAATATCAATCAATATCAATCAATATCAATCAATATCAATCAATCAATATCATTCAATATCATTCATGTTGATTACATGTTGATTACCTGGTGGTGGTTTGGAACATTTGTTATTTTCCATAATATATGGGATGTCATCCTTCCCATTGTCGAACTCATATTTTTCAAGATGGTTATTGCACCACCAACCAGATACAAGGGATTACAAGGGCCTCCATTGATAATTGATACTCCTCCCATGTTGAAAGATATAGTTGAAATAGTTTTTTTTACCCATTAATAGCATGGTGGATCTTTCCCATCAGTTTTTTGTATGTTTTTGCCAGAGGGTAAATCCTTTTAAATCCCATTAAATCCCATTAAACCATCATAAAATCCCATTAAATCCCATTAAATCCCATTAAATCCCATTAAACCATCATAAAATCCCATTAAATCCCATTGTAGCTGTACATTGTATGCTGTGTTGACTGCCCCTCCCGGAGGGTGACAAGGGTCGAATCACCAAACCAGGATGGAGGACCCAGAGCCGCTTGGCGCGGAGGACCTGCGGCTGAATGTTGTTGTTTTCCTTAAAGCCAAAGCATTCGAACATATGATCAAATCGTATCAAAGCTGTTTTTTTTCCAGTGTTCTTATAGTTCTTCTCGAACCTTGATTTTATGCATTTTGTGGTTTTGATTGATTTCTACGTATATTTCTTTACCTAGAGCGTCCGAGAGCGCAGATTTCGGTCAGTGATCCAGATTTTCTAAGTGAAACATAGAATCAGAAAACAAATCTAAGCGGTCTTGACGTGACACCAGGTTGGCCTTGTCTTTTTGAGTGCTTGCATTTTTTTTGCACTTGCCTTGCATTTCTAAGTGATGCAGAGTCAGGATTCCGGCGCGCATTTTTTTCAAGTGCTTCAGATTTCTAAGTCGCAGAAAAAAGACAGCGATCAAGGGTCCAATGTCCAAGTATATTATTCTTTTCCGTTTGATTATTTTATTGTCTCCCACAATATTGCTAGTTCTTTCCTTTTTGATCCCGTTTGTGATTGTGTTTTGAGTGAAGCAATAATAGCACTCCAACATGGAAACAACCATGCGTGCTAGACAAGCTGAATAATCAGGTAGAATGAAACGTCAGACTGCAATCAATTGCATGAAACATGGCTACGCCGAAGTTTAGTGAGCAATCCATCGAGCTTTATTCTCTTCATGTGTCGGATTCGTTTCTATGTCATGTCGTTGTATATGTGTCTTGTTTTGGAACTGGGTTTGTTTGAAAATAGCTGAAATCTCATAGTTTAACTATAGTTCATCCATATAGTTCAACCATAGTTTAACTCTCTAAATATCTAATAGCTGAAATAGTTCCTTTCTCTATTGCCATACTTTATCCGGATAAAGCCAGACCAGGCACCCCTAAAGCAGCGCTGTCTTAGGTGAAAATCGTGGACTTTGGATGCGCACGCAGGGATTTCTCAGTCACCTTTTGGGGGGTCGCGGTCTGTGGAGACCTGTGAGGGGTCTATGTTTTAAGGACCAGCAAGGGTGGATCATATTTCCCTATGGGTCTGACTGGGTCTAAGAAAAAGAAGTTGAATACCTACAAAAGTATGTTTTTTTTTCTTAGGGAAAATGATGATCCACCCAAAAAACAATTTTTTGGGTGCTGGGAAACGTACCAATATTTGGACAATCCATACATTTGGCATAACATTGGGCAGCCCCAACTTTGATGTAGCCTTGTTGCTTCCCACAGTTGATGAATGGGTTTATCCCAAATCCACAGTGTCAATCATCATTTTCATATCAGTTCCCATAGGGAACAGTTGCAAGTGTTTGGACACAGCCATATTATCATATTAGATCATATTATATCATATTATATCATATTAACATATATTCACCAGCACCCATTTCAACTTGGGAAGGCAACCATTTCCTCTCCAATTTTCTTGGCGAGGCATCGACCAACGAGAAAAAACTGGACTTAACTGGCCGGGCAACGGGCGGAACGGGCGGGGGGAGACGTCGTGACACGTCGTGGGTGCTTCGTGAGTGCAAGGGCATAGGTACGTGATTGGTATAGCTGTATACCCTTTTGGTAATTTTACATATTATTGAAAAAGCTATTGAAGAATTGCCATTTCATATATACCATATGAATATACCATATGGTTATTTAACATAGCCATGGAAAATCACCATGTTTAATAGGTAAACCATCTATGAATGGGCGGTTTTCCATGGCTATCGCAAAGTACCAGAGGGTAGATCACGCAGCCAGGATGTTTGATCAATGGATTCTGTGCTCATCATCATCATCACCACCACCACCATCACCATCATCTTTCCCTTTAGAATTGCCATTGCGGGGTCTACGTCCATTTATTGGTGCTTTAGAATTCACAATCATTGCTGTCCTAAAAGCCCCTCAAATCCTACTTTTTGCCGGTCAAATCCCTCATGTTTAATGACACCCAAAGTATCTCAAAGTAATCACCGTATTTTTCCCCCTCACTTCGGATGGTGCACGACAGGCTCTAAGCTTCTGGGCGCAAGCCCAATGGGTGTGGGGCAGCGCGCAATTCAACGAAACACCAAATCCGAAATCATCAGCACATAATTGGTTCATATCCCACAGGATCCATGTATGCTATATATATGGTAACATGGATCCCATCAATATACCCCCAATGTTAGCATATATACCATACATGGATCCTATGGGTATTGGTTCTATCTCAACTATCCCTGTAAGCCTTGGCTGGCAGATCATCCCACCAATATGTCAAGCATCCCGCCAGGGCCTTGGCCGAGGGCGGTGCTGGTCACCTGGGGAAGTGGTCACCCGAAATGACCTTGCGCCTTCCCATTGGACATCGTTCCGACATCTGGGGTGCAGCCGCTGGGGAGCCTGGTTAAGTGATGGTTGTGAAATGTTGTGAAACAATATGTTTCAATCTGAGTCATGGTCTACTGACTTGGATGAGTTGGGGGACCCCTATTTCAGGAAACCTCCATGTGGTGGATGTTCATTTCTTTGATTTGTTGTGTGTTTCAGCCCTTGTTGCCATCGTTACATGACTTTCGATCCTTCTTCCATGTGATGCTCTTCATCTCCAGCGGTGATCTATGAAATCAAAGCGTGCCCTGGGACCCTGGGGCCCAGGTCTCACTATGCGAGTTGCATTGTGGCCGGGTGGTTTGGCGTTCCGAAGTGGATTCTGCTGAGGCAGGGTGTAGCAAGAGATCTCAAGCAATTCATCTCGGTTTCTATGTTTTTGCCATGCCAGGGGAGGATAAAGTCTGGTAAACTAACATAGCTATTGAAAATGGCCATTTGTAGTTGGTTTACCCATTAAGAATGGTGCTTTTCCATAGTTATGTAAACGTTTACCAGAGGGTAAAGTCTGAGTGACCGGTTTGGGATGAGTTGAAACATGTTGAAACTACGGTAAGGACGCAGAGTTTCCCTATGGAGCTTCCCGAATTTTCAACTGATTAATTTTAATTTAAATTTTGAACCCATTCGCATTGTTTCCCAAGTTCAACCATTTTAAACTTGCTAATTACATCTAAGACAATATATGTTTTCACATAAGAAATACATACCTTTTGGATCCTTTTGGTAATTTACTGTAACATAGCTATTGAAAATGCCACCCCCCCCAAAAAAATATATATATATATATATAGTTGATTTCCCTACAAAAAATGGTGATTTTCCGTAGCTACGTGAAATTTTTGAGGGTAAATGCCATACTTCGACTGGAGAACCTGCCAGGTGGTCATGGCTCAAGCCCTGGGCCTTTGCAACCTTCGTGATGGCTTGCCTGCGCCGGAAAACCGAGACATGACTTACCCAACAGGAATTTTTTGGGCAGTTCAGATTAAACTATTATCTTATATGATTATATATTGTTATATGATATATGTATATATATATATATATTATTTTATTGTATATAACTAAGTAACTATATGATATGATTTTCTTTGATATATATGTATATATAATATATAGTATATGATATGATATGGAATATGGACATATATATATATATATATATGTATTTTCCCTGTATTAAACCTTCCATACCAAGAAAATCTCCAAGAAATGTGTCGTAGATTCTTGTTCTTGCTATAACTTATAACTACATACAACTACCATAACTTTAATTGTAGAACACTGATCAGGACATGCTCGGAACACGACCACGACATTTCGTTGCGAAGCTTTCCATCCTAGCCTTGGTCCATCGTTCAAGGTCCTTGCTCCGGCGCAGTCCACTGGATGTGCGGCAGTTGTATACACCTGCACGACTCCCAGATGCTGATGCTCACACGACTTGGAGATGGTCCGAGTGGCATGGTTTTGCCGAGTAAATGGTAACCCAAAAGGCAAGTTAGAGAAGGTGGGAAAGGGTTCATTGTACAGGGTACACCCGTAGCCGTGAAGCTTTGATAGTGCTTTGTTGGGTTTTATGCTAATATGGGCGTGGGTCGGATTTACTCATCCCGCGTTTGGATATCCAGTTTTGAATCATTGTATTTCACCCACAAGAGTAGGTGCCATTCATAATTTTTCATCGGACTTTCCTCCACAAGTCTGTAAGCGGAAATTCGTGATTCACAATACCGTACCATGTACCCATCCTGGCATCCATCCAGAGGCAAATCATACTTCGATACCTCAACATGTCTAAATCAAACTGGACATGTGTTGCAACTCCAGGATGACTTGCTAGTTGGTAATCAAAGAACATGGCTGGAAATTCCGTCCATTTTCGAGAAGCCGTCCGGATAGACATGTTCATTGCGTTCCACCTAGCAGGGTCAGATTCCCAGAGAGCATTCAACAGGAAAATCCAATTTTTTCAATCATCAAATTCCAACTTTCAAGGATGAAATGGTCATTGTTGCCAGTTATATAACTCCTGTCAATTTTCAGGAATCAAATCTCCAACTTCTGGGGAAACCCAACTGTAAATCCAATCTTTGGCTAAAATCCCGGGGGTTAACCAGTTGACTCCCAATTTTCGTAGTTAAACTCCTGCCCTTTTCCGCGAGACAGTCCAGATTTTCTTGGTAATCCCATGTAATCCTGAAAGTTTCGTAGCTGATCCAAATGTTGGGTTTAAAGCTCCAAGTTTTCCTTGCAAACTCCCCATTTAAGCGTTGAAATCATCGTTGTTTTTTTTTCGAGGCCCCTCGGCACTGGCCCCTGCGCCGCGCAGCTGCTCACTTGGAGGCTGTGAGGCGCCAGTGGGATGCAATAGATTGACATATAAAAATACATACCTTCTGGTAATTTAACATGTTGCTATAGAAAATTGCCCAAAATAATAGTTGATTTACCTATTGCAAATGGTGATTTTCCATAGTTATGTTGGTTTACCAGAGGGTATACATGGGATAATAGTACTGTATATAATCTGGTTGATGGTTTGGAACATGAGTTTCATTTTTCCATATCTTGGGAATAATCATCCCAACTGGCTTTCATATTTTTCAGAGGGGTTGAAACCACCAACCAGTAATAATGGGATTATGATGGATGTTGATACGATAATGCAACAAACCATTGTATGGTATTCACTATCGTTGAATGGGATATCATATGATATTGATGTGGATTCAACCGGGATAAGTATGGATACATAGTTATATGATTTTATATGGATACTACGGATGTAACATGAATGCAATTATCATGGATGTTGCATACCATAGCATATTTAATCCCATATTATCCCAGATTGCGGCATGTATAGGGAAAACGACACATTAATGATTCAATGATATTTAATGGATATATGTTGGATAAAAATATACAGGATTTGGTATGGGATACTGGATTTTGTATGGGATATTTACCTATCGGGATATATATATAATATACGGGTATATAATTATATATATATGATCATGATTATGATGATGATCATCATCATATCATATCATGGATATAAAGGTACGTATACTCTAGGGTATACATACATTACATTACATTGCATTGCATTGCATTACATTGCATTACATTGCATTGCATTACATACTTACTTAATATATTACATTACATTAGATTAGATTACATTAGATTACATTAGATTAGATTACATTAGATTACATTAGATTACATTACATTACATACATACGACATAGTCAAAAAGACAACATTAATGTCCAATGTGGCACGCATGTGAAGACCATCGAAAGCCAACGATATCATTGGCTTCCTTGCCAGATTTTCCGTGCCATTGGTGTTTACCAAAAGGGAACTACCCTGTATACCTTCACCTATCCTCTGCGTTTCGTGTGCAATGAAACATGTGCTAGCAAGCATCAAAGTTACGCCGTAATATCTTTCAGAAAGCCAATGTACAGTACATGTGGCATGTGAAATATATGTCACAGCAACCCCCAGAAAGAGTTATATGAATGTGTAAAATCTGACTACCATAGTGATAGCTTCTCTATGGGGCTTACTATACGCCCGCCTGAAAACTAACATGGATGCGGGAAACCGACCATTCCTAGATCATGTTCCTTGGCTTTCCCCATGGATTTTCCATGTGTTTAGTAAGTTTACCCAAGGATAACAAAAACAAACAAACAAACAAACAAACAAAGAAAGAAAGAAACAAACAAACAAACAAACATCTTGAATACCTGAAATTAAATGTAATTAATAGGTATACCGGTATACCTATCACTTATGAAGACATATATACACATACATATATATATAGATAGATAGATGGATAGATAGATAGATAGATAGATATAGATTTCCTGAAAGCCTTTTGAAATCTTTTGTTGGGACGTTTCCAGGGGTCGGGAGGTTCCCTCGGCTCCTTCCGTCCAGGCCCAAGCGCTGGGGCTTGGATCAGATCTTAGGGCCACAGTGGCAGGACTCCTCCAAGGCGATTGGGGCCCTTGGGGCTGGGGATTGGAGCTTCCCATGACTTTTTTGATGGAAAAAAACATGAAAAATCCCAGTTCCATCACCAAAAAAACTGGAAAAAGCAACTTGGTACTGGGAGTTTGAAAAAGACTTGGACCAACTTGGATCAAAATATGTTTTGCAGGAAAAACCTTTGGAAACACTGATTTGAAAGACACAAAAACCCAAGGTTTCCTGGACATTTTAGCTTACCAACCCGATGATCGTTGGTAATTGAAACGGTGCCCCCTTTGAGTTTTGAGCCATTATTGTTCAACCAACGGATGTTGCAATGTTTGTTGGTTCTTAGGTCCAATTTAGCGTATGACAACCATGAGCACCATGGATTTCTTAGAAAATGGGCCCCTAAATCCAGCGGTTTCAAACCTCATTTCCCATCTGAGAGTGAACAGAACCATTCACGGACACACGTGAATCATGTCGTGCCATGGCTTCACGGATTTCTTGCGCAGGTGGAATTTGGCGAATTTCTTTTGGCTGCGCTGGTGTTGGCGGGGTGCCCTAGTACCTCCTCCAGGAGAAAGTTTCTTGGAACTCCGGGACCACAAAGTCATCCAACAGGGTCATGTATATATAATTATATATATATACATATATATATATATCAATTATATAAATAGATGATAATAAATGAAAAAGTTGGATGCTCAAAAAAAAACATGGCTGACTTAGCTGACGTCCTTGTGGTGGAGATGGCTCCCCTTGAAATTGTTGCCATGATGCCTGCAGAAGATGTCGGTTCAGTAGACCCAGCCACTTGGTATAGAGTTTTACATCCCAACCTCCCAACCTCCCAACTGCACCCCCAACTAATCGTGTTGCATTAAATGGTTAAATAATGTTAAATATATCATCCAGTTATATCCCAATATATCATATATACCACTACTATCATATTGCATTCCCATGATATCCTAGCTGGTTGGTGGTTTGGAACTTTTTTTTTAATTTTTCAATATATTGGGAATAATCATTCCAACTGACTTTCATATTTTTCAGAGGGGTTGAAACCACCAAACAGCCAGCCTTTTTTAAATGGCCTGGGCATCTTCGACCTTTCGCCCTTTCGCCCCGGGGCTTCGCCGCCCGGCTGAGGATCCGGCCTTTCGGCTTTCGGCCGAAGAGTTGCTAGAGTCGGGTTCCCAGTTCTGCTTTCCATGGCGATACTCCAATAGCTGCAAGGTGGTGCCCCATAGTTAGCTAAGTTGGTTTATGAGTCCAATACCTATGGTTTATAGGTTATATATCTATTGTTAATGGTGATTATAACCTATTTATAACTGGGGGGGGCACCACCTTGTATCCAAGGGGTAGCCAATGATTTTTTGGCCTCAATATAAGTTAACATCTATGACAATCAACCCCAATGATTTTTAAACTAAACTTAGCACCACCTTGTGGGTCAGATGTTTGATGGAACTTTGGACATGAGAGGTCACACCTGCAACACCAAGTCTATATGCAAATGATTGAGGTTGGAAAGCAAGAACCCAAAAAAAAAAAGTTTCCTGACCCAGTGAAAGAAAATTCAAAAACATCCATCATTTTCCCCAGGTGACCGTGAACATCATTGAACATCACCTTTTTTCCAGCGAAAAAATGCCGCAGGTGCTGCAGCTTTCTGAATCCGGAGGTCCTGCAATAGGCGCCTTTGGTGACCTGGTGTCCTTGGGCGCCGGTGAATCAACCATTTAAAATGGGGCTTGTAACCGGGTTGTACCATGAACAATAAGGATTTAACCCATGAAGTAAAGGATTTAACTATATAATTATATAATTATACATATATATATAATATATATATATGGATTTGTTTGATGTTAAAAGGGAAAACCCTGAATTCCCATGATTCCTCATGATTTTCTCCCTTTAAAAATGCAATTGTTGGGGTGCAACCTTTTGACAAGCAACATGGTCCTAGGCAGTATGACATGGTATTGGATGAACACTCACCTGTGACACGGGTGTCATTGTCAGAAAGTCGTCATGACGCATCCTTGTATGTCCTTGTCAAGGAACATGCCGAACATGCAAACATGTTTTTCAGAATTTGGCCTGAAACATGAAAAAACATTGATAAACATGTCCGACCCATCAAGGAGACAACATACAAACATATGACAAACAAGCACTAGATGATCTGATTCGTCAAACAGCTGTTTTTGACCTGCTCCGGGACTCCGGTGAGGCTCCCAAGGAGCCAAGGTGGGAAATTTCTGACGTCAGTGCTGTTTTCACAGCAGTTTGACCAAACATATGATGGTAAAACACCAAAAGTCATTTATCATCATTTATCTTATGGCAATTGCATTTGCTTCAAACAGCAAAACGTCCTACGTATCCTACGTACTTTGTTTTGGGAGTTTGAAGTAGCAGAAACCGTAGCGGATTTCGGGGCTGTTGCCTGCCAGGAATCAGCTGATTGGGGCGGCTGCTGGCCAAATGTGCCAGCACAGATGTCGCGGATGGTATTTCGGATGGTATTTCGGATGGTGAAACCCTGAAAGTGCCGTACTTCCAGGGAATTGGAGTTTGTTTGACTTCGACAACAGAAGTTGGTCTTCCAAATCTACTGGGTATCTACTGCAAACGTTTATGTTTCGTCAAACGCAAAATTGGTTCTGTAACAATTGCCGAAGGCCGAAGGATCATTTCATGTGTAGTGTCATATCTTTGTTCCAAAAGAGGCATCAGAAGCCGCATTTGCCAACACTTGCCCTGACAAGAGGGAGCAAACTTTGGCTTATGCCAGTTGCAATTCGGATTGAACAATGCTTTTAGTCGTCGTGAGTAGACATGCAACCATGGCTTCCGAGAATGTGTGGAGCACTGAGCTTGATTCCATTGCCACTTGTCCTTTGAGTGGGAGATGAACAACATCAGATTGTGTCCCATGTCTTCTTAGTATCAAGGAGTTGCAAAGCTCAGTGCTTCGCGTGCCACTGGCGGCCCACTTTTTTTCTCATGGCGCATGATCCTAATTGGCTCCCGCAGGAAGGGGCTCAGAAATATTGAGCCCTGAGTGGCCGAGACTGCAGACCGGACATGACCGGACACAAGATGCCAGAGGTGCAATTACAAAGATGCCAGAGGTATTCTTGGCTGCTGTTTGCGTTGGCAGTATCACTGGCAATAGACCCCCATACATACGAGTACAGTGTAATATATGTAGATGGTATATATACGTATATAGAATGGGCTAGCGCCCGGGTGCCGCCGACCCCCCTTCTGGGGGGTTGGGCTGAAGGTGGTTGGTGCGGTGCATGTTTGATTGATGACGATGAGGATGATGGTGATGATCATGATGAGCATGATGATGAAGATGATGATGATGATGATGAGGAGGAGGATGATGATGATGACGAGGAGGAGGATGATGATGATGATGAGGATGAGGTCATCGCAGTCGTTTGGGCGCATTGCGGTCACACAAAACACGCCGTCGGGAAAACGATGCCAGAAGAAACATTGGCACGTTCCCAAGAAAAAGGGAAGGAAAAAAAGAAAAGAAAGAGAAAGATGCTGCACTTACGAGGGCATACTGTAGGCCCTTAAAAGTAGATGGCTGTGGCCGGAGCCTGGTCCTTGCACACCCCAAAAAACAGATGGTTGTGGCCAAAGTAACTTAGTGCCTGGTCAAAGGTGCCGCGGAGGGCTTTAGGCCTCTGAGGGCCGGCAAACGGCAGCCTCGAACGCCGATAGTAGCAGATGGCTGTGGCCTCGAGTGCCTGGTCGAAGCTGCCGCGGAACGTTTTAGGCCTTTGAGGGTGGGCAAACGGCAGCCTCGAACGCCGATAGTAGCAGATGGCTGTGGCCTGAGTGCCTGGTCGAAGCTGCCGCGGAGCGTTTTAGGCCTTTGAGGGCGGGCAAACGGTAGCCTCGAACCCCGATAGTAGCAGATGGCTGTGGCCTGAGTGCCTGGTCGAAGCTGCCGCGGAGCGTTTTAGGCCTTTGAGGGCGGGCAAACGGCAGCCTCGAACGCCGATAGTAGCAGATGGCTGTGGCCTGAGCCACTGGTCGAAGCTGCCGCGGAGCGTTTTAGATTTTGAGGGCGGGCAAATAGTAGCAGATGGCTCTGGGCAGCGTGCCTGGTCGAAGGTCCCGCGGAGCGTTTTAGGCCTTTGAGGGCGGGCAAACGGCAGCCCCCGATAGTAGCAGATGGCTGTGGCCTGAGTGCCTGGTCCTTGGTCGAAGCTGCCGCGGAGCGTTTTATAGGCCTTTGAGGGCGGGCAAACGGCAGCCTCGAACGTCGATAGTAGCAGATGGCTGTGGCCTGAGTGCCTGGTCGAAGCTGCCGGTCGAAGCTGCCGCGGAGGGTTTTAGGCCTTTGAGGCCGGGCAAACGGCAGCTTCGAACGCCGATAGTAGCAGATGGCTGTGGCCTGCATGCCTCTTCGAAGCTGCCGCGGAGCGTTTTAGGCCTTTGAGGACGGGCAAACGGCAGCCTCGAACGCCGCTAGTCGCAGATGGCTCTGGCCTCGAGTGCCTGGTCGAAGCTGCCGGGGAACGTTTTAGGCCTTTGAGGGTGGGCAAATGAAGGCCATGGCCGTGACAAAGCAGGTTCCACACCTCCGGTGGTCCCAGGCGCCGCCCCTGCCTTGGCGAAGGCCGGGGTCGGCGGATATACACATATAGAATTACATATAGTATGGTATCTACATGTACCTACGTGTGTGTGTGTATATATAGTGTATATATATATATGTATATAGCTCCCGAAATATGCATTCATGCGATATCTCAGAGGTGTTCCATCACTGGTAAGAAGCAAGTCCAACTGCTGTTGTGATCCACACGAGCCTCTTTGTGCCGTAGTGGTGGTCTTTGACAATTTTTGACTCGATTGTTTTTACGGATGCAATCTTGCAGTACGTCTGTATATGTATACATGTACATTTTATTTGGCAAGATCGTTTGAGAGACGACTGGTATTTTACAGTGTTTATTTTTCAAGCCCCGACCCATGACTGGCGTCCGAAGAAGTTCCTTAACTCAGGGTTCAAGCCACCGTAGTTACCCTCTGGTAATTTAACATAACTATGGAAAATCACAATTTTTAATGGGAAAACTCACTATTTCTATGGCCATTTTCAATAGCTATTTTGACATAACCAGAGGGTACCATAGTTACCAAAGTTGCCAAAGTCACCACAAGTTTGGGAGGTGAAGTCAGGCAACGTTGTCTGGCTGGGAAGGTTGGGAACCATAAGGGACCCAGAACTCTGATCTGTTTGATTATGGTACAAGGTGGTGCCCCCCCAGTTATAAGTGGGTTTATAAACCCCATTAACTATAGTGATATCTGCCATAAACCATAGTTATTGGACTTATAAACCAACTTAGCTAACTATGGGGCACCACCTTGTAGTAAACCATCCACATTGGGGTGCTATGACTCACCATATCTTACTGAAAAAAGGGCTCATAATCATAGCCATATCTCTAGATTAATGATTATATAATGATCATGAGAAGACAGAATGGCTATAGCTATGCTATGGCTGTCAGTGCCAGTCGATAGTTTGGAGCCATAGTTCTGAATATTTAAACTTGGTGAGTTGCTAACTTATTCTCCAAGTAGTTTTTCGCTTTCTGGGAGATTATTGGGAGATTTGTTTCAACAAAATAATTTGAGATATTTTGGCATAATATTACATAATTAACATGTTTTTCTCATATTTTCTCCAAGTATCTTTTCAATAATCCACTTGGTGAATTTCCACGCTGCAACTGGCTCTCTACGACTTGCTCCAGCGGGGGAGTGCTGCGGTTCCGCAACGTCCAACAAAGGCCACTTCAGACCGGACAGTTCGAGCAATGGGTGAAGTGTTTGCCTTGCCATCCCAGATGTTTTCATCAATGCCTGGCAAAAGGCCTATTTCAAATTGAAATAGGCCCAAAATATCCCAAAATAATAGTTGATTTACCTATTATAAATGGTGTTTTTTCCATAGTTATGTTAGTTTACCAGAGGGTATATATGGGATAATAATACATAATCTGGTTGGTGGTTTGGAACATGAATTTTATTTTTCCATATATGGGGAATAATAAGCCCAACTGACTAATATTTTTCAGAGGGGTAGGTATACCACCAACCAGATTACTTTGTTGACCATGGGTTTCGGATGGTTTCAGGTTGTTTCGAACAATGGACCATTGCACTGTCGAAACATGTTGAAACATCGACTTCGTACAAAGTCAAACATTGGTTGGCCTAAGAATTGTGCTGCATTGGATTGGAGTTCCGCGAGGTGAAATTATTCAAGTTCTTCATTGAAGGAAGCGTTGCATACGAGACTCATAGCTTGTTTTATCGGCATATTTGTCGAAATATGGTTGGAGATGGTGATAAAGGGACCTCAAAATTTGGTTTCCAGGTGCAGTTGAGATAATAAATGGGATCAAATCGGTATACATACCATATCATACCATATACCCGTGGTTATAATCCCACAATATGTGATATATAATGAATAATGATATATATATATATACAACTGGAACTGCATCCTCAATTATACATGCCATCGTAGTCATGGAATGTGATGCCGCTTCAATGACAACGTTTTTGTTAGATTGTTCTTTTTTATGTATGTTTTTTGCGCTTCTGAATTTCGCAAGCGCAGGCGTGTCGCGCAGGCGTCAAGACCCCCCTCGCTAACTCAGCTACAACGAAGTGTCCTGGCGCCGAACTTTGTCCGACCGGCTGCCTCTCTTGAAACTGGGGAAGCTCGAATTTTGCAATCCAGTTCCTTTAAACGACTAAAACCAGGTTCACGACCAGGTGTTTGGTTGGCTCATGATGTTTTGTTGCAAAACGGGTCCTTTTTTTTAGGATCATCTTACGACTTGTAACTGGTTAATCTTTTTTTGGGTTCTCACACGACTAGGATACCTACCCCAGTGTGAGATTCACATTAATGGTCACGATCTCTTCATTGAGGATACCTCAATGGTTTGTGAAGGGACTTAAACCCGGATTACCCCAGATTACCATTCGTGGGATGATCCTCCTTTTGCGGCACTGGCACTGGCAGCTGCGGCTTTGCGGCTGTAGCTAAATGGCGACTGAAACTTCAGTGAGTTCACTGTGTCATTTAGCTACTATGTAGTCACTTCAGTAGTCATAGACCTGTGAGGACAAACCTTCACTTTGTCTCCCACACATCACATGTTGCGCGAATCACCACTGAGTCCCAGTGGCTGTTTCGCCAAGGTTTCAGACATCCGATTGGCCGATTGGGACCGTCCATGCGCGTGGTCAACTCATAACTCTGAGGTGGCGGTGACACTTTGATTTGGATTTGAGAATAATTACAATATGATAATATGATGGTGTGCACGATGCCACAGAATCCCATGTCAATATGTATATTAATAATTATGTGATATTATGTGTATGTATGTAACGACATGGAATTGAATTGAATACATATATGTATATCGTGAGTACACTATAATGTTGATGTATCATTTTCTTAGATCTCGTGACCTGCAAAATCCATGGGGCCAGGTGACTTGCTGAGATGAGCCGGAGCCGGTCGCCAATGTCACTTGGCGGTTCCCAGTGAAAGAGCAGTTGCAGCTGGCAAAAGAACTTGGGAACAATATGACATGACATAACTATGATCTATAGAGATATCATCATTGATATCACCATGTTATTATCTGTAGATATAGTATGATATAGTGATATACCATGACTGGTTGGTGGTTTGGAACATGAATTTTATGGCTTTCCATATATTGGGAATAAGAAATCCTAACTGACGAAGTCATATTTTTCAGAGGGGTAGGTCAACCACCAACCTGACAAGAATCGATCTCCGTTGTATCAAATGATCCTGAAAAAAGTGATCAACAATCGATGAAGGTACAGTGCATGCAAAGGTCCATGCATGTTCATTAATTTACCCTCTGGTAATTTAACATAGCTATTGAAAATGACCATTAATAGTGGATTTTCCCATTAAAAATGGTGGATCTTTCAATAGCTATGTAACAAATTACCAGAGAGCCTTATTTACAACTTTAGCCACACAATCTCAGCCACAGCCATCATCAGCCATCCCACAGTCGCATTCCAGAGCCAGGCTGGCTATCCTTTGTGTCTCCTGTGTGCTTTCTGAAAGTGCTTTGCTCGAAGTGGACAGTCTGGTGCTAAGCGTGCAACAAGACAGAACAAGACCATTGTTTAGTCATACTTTGATCTAGGTCCTTTGCCATTGCCCGCCTGTTGCGAAAAAACAAAAAACCTACAATGTAACACTCTTCATCCCTACTGAAGTAGTTCCTCAGCAAACATTTCCAAGATATCCAAGATATCGGTGAGGGTTCCCACTGAAAGCTGCCTGTTGGATCATGGATTCCAGAGGTTCGGCAGAGTTGGTCTCCAGCTTGCCCTTTGTGCGATTTGCTGCTTGGTATTCTGTGGTTACCCTCCGCTGCTGTCGTGATCCATATGGAAATCTTTGAAACAGCGCTAGGTGAATACTAAAAAGTACTGAGAACAGTGTTTTTTTGATACGTAGTCATAGTGTTTTATGTATGTTGCATTACAGCAAATAGAATCTTGTTGGCACTGGCCCGGGACTCTCAAAGAAATGTCGAATCATATTTGTCAAATGAGTTTTGAAACTCATGTCGATGATTCGATGTTTGTCACCAGTTTCTTCCCGAAACAGAGTTCCAGAGTTCTCCGAAATGTCCTGAAAGAAGTCAAGCATCATCTCGCAAGATCTCACAACGGAGCGATGGGAAGATGTCCGATGATTTCCGATGATTTGGGGCAACATGATAAATGTGCCAGATCTGGTTGGTGGTTTGGAACATGAATTTTGTGACTTTCCGTTCAGTTGGAATAAGAAATCCTAACTGACGAAGTTTTTTTTTTCAGAGGGGTAGGTTGAAACCACCAACCAGATATATATATATATTATATAATCCTATTATACCACATTTTCATTGATTTGGGGGGATTAACATCCATTCACCAGCCATTTTCCAGCATTCTCCTTGCAACTCGGTCTCTAATGGTAACCTGTAATTAACATATAATGTAATAACATGTAGCGACCCCAAAATAGAAAAGGTAGGAGTTTACTCTGTCTGGACCTTGGTACAATACGGACCCTCCGCGTGCATCCAGCCCAGGCACTCGCAGAGCACGAGAAAAAAGGAAGGATCGAGCCCCACATCCGTGGCGCGTTTCTGCAGTGGGACTTCTCAGTGGGCGAGCTGATTGAGTAGATACCCTCGTCATCAAAACGTGGCAAGCTGGAGGAACCCCCCAGAATTATACAGCAAATGGAGGTTTAAAGCTGGGAAAATCATCTGTAAATGGGGAATTTTTAGGATCGTCTACTTTCTCAAACAGCAAGGAACAATTTAGGGGTGGACCAGAAACATACATTGAAATCGTTGAAACAAACAAATGCTAGCAACAAACTGCTTACTGGCACACTACCTGGCTCTGCGGTTTCACTTAATGAATATATTACATATGAATATATATATATATATAATATATAACGTGGTTAAAACAATAATAAACCTTCCCCAAAATCACAATTTTTATAGGTGCTATGTTTACCATTCCCAGTCATGGGTGGTAAACATGACATTGCTTTAACCACATTATCTGGTTGGTGGTTTGGAACAGGTTTTATTTTCCATATACTGGGAAGAATCATCCCAAGTGACTTTCATATTTTTCGGAGGGGTAGGTATACCACCAGCCAGTTATTCATGATTATACTGTGAGTATACTTGGTGGCTCATCCCACTTAGTAAGTAGGTCATAACCTCAGTTATAAGTGGATTAACCCTACTTATCCCATGTAAATCACTGGGGTTATAACCTACTTACTAAGTGGGATGAGCCACCAAGTAGGGATAAAGATGATTTATATCCCAACTTCTAAGGGGTTTTTTCCAACCCAGGACCCCAACGACTCGCTCTGGCGAAGCCGCCGCGGGCGGGCAGACAGAAGTGAAGAATGTACGGGGGCTCAGGAGTTGACATGGTGGTGAGTTGGGAATTTGAACATGTCTAGATTCCTATTAATCATATATAATATATATATATATTTAATATATATATATATATATATAATATATATAATATAATATATATATATTGATTACTTTCGCAAGATTACATCATTGCATCCCATAAAATATTTGGTTAATTTGCTATATAGGGATTCCTATCCATCTATAAATCATATATAAGTCATCTATTAATCATATATATAGAAATCATCTAAGGATGATTTTTTATTTTTGTTGGGACCCCTTCAGCAAATCAATAGGATAGGACGGCCTCGGAAGATTCGCTCCCTGGCTCGGACGGAAATCCGAGGTTTTCGTTGGGTGGCAGTTTCATGGCGGTTTGACCCGGAAAGCATCGATGCACCCGTGCAGATCTTTGAAAGTTCCCTGTATTTTGTGGGAAGGGCCAACATCAGGTCAGGAGAGACTATAATTATATTATATTTAATATAATATATATATAATATATAATATACACCATGCGTGCAATGTTGCAAGGCCACCATGCAGTCTCCGGCTGCCGAGTCGGCTGAGGTTGGGGGATTTGGAATTTCACCATGAGAAATTGGACATGACCTATCAGAAATAGGGATTGTACATGATTTAAACATCAGAAATGGTGATTCAACCATCAAAACTGTGGTATTTAAACATTAACAAGATACACCTATGAATCGTGAATTTAGATGTGTCTGAAAATGGGCTATACACCCATTTATAGCCAGTTCATATAATTTCATATCATTCAATGGGGATGGGGAAAATGATTAACTTGACAATCACATTTTGGGGTACTCTATTTTCAGACAAACCCACTTAGCAATGGGACACAGTATAGCTATATGGCTAAAAAACAGTGGCGGTGTACGAGTTATGGGATGATTTTGCCACAGCTGGATCTTGAATCTTGAACCAGACCCCAAGTCTTGGATAATTTGGGCGGCCAGGCAGTTTTGGACATGAACAAGTGAACCATATATATCATACGGCTTTGTCTGAAAATTGGCTACTCCCAATGCACTGATTAATCATCAGTATCCCCATTCAAACAGCTAAAATTGGGGGGATCAGTATCCCCAATCTTCAGACACCCATTTTTTTTGTTCCAGAGAGTTTCATGGTTGTTCCATCCCAGCATGGACTCTTGGTCTCTTGGAAATCACAGGAATTTTGGGTTCCATTTTCAGCACCAACTGTGCCCCAAAATCTGCCGGATGTGGCGCAGGTGAAGCAGATAGCTGTGGCACCTGCGGATGCACAGGTGGGGATGGTTGATGGTCTTGATGGCCGGTGGAAGGATTTCGGGATGGTCATTGATTTTTTGGCCAGGATGGTGTACCGATGTGTCGAGTGTACCACAAGCGCTTTCCAGGATGGTGATACTTTTGATATAGAGGAAATACCAGGAAGCGTGTGAAAGATTGAATCATTCGGGGATGAAAGATGTTCCCCAAATTGTGGGCAAATAGATCAAATGTATCCACTGGCACTAGTGGCCTTGGTTGATTCGAATGGCCGTGCAACTCCATCCCCACCGGTTTTTTCATGGAGCAATGGATATGTCATGTCTTATACTTGGGGGTTTTGATCCAAAATCTTCATACCTCTCATAATCAAACGTTGCAATGGGAAATCCCCAAACTAAATAGAGGTTTGGGAAAATTCATCTACAAATAGGTGATTTTTCATTGCCACGTACCGGAGGGTAAATGACAATGACCTTTCATGTTTTTGAGCAACACATCTCACCTACAGGCAACTGTGGCGGCGGCTGAGTCGCTTCAACAACCAGCTGCGGCACAAGCTGCGCAGCCACTAACAATGGTTCCTTGGAGTGAAGTAAGGCAGAAAGGCTTCAGGCCTTCACTAGTTCTGATTTCAAAGCTGTTCACCGGCTGGGAGTGGTCCTTATAAGGGGAGTCGTTGTCCCCATGTTTTTTCCGCCCCACAAGGTGAGTCAGCCAGCACAGCTCGCAGCCACTGAGCCAGTGGCTCCGGCCGCGCCAAACCAGACGCAGCAGGCAAAGCTTCCGGCGCCGAAGGCGGACGTCCAGATGGCCGTGGTGCCAGTCACTGTAACGGCCAAATCAGCGGCACCACAGGCGCCGAGGAGAAATTCGGTGGAGGGCAGATTCGGCAGCTTCAACGGGAAATTTAAGCGTCCGTTGAAAGGTCACTCACTTTGTGACGGGGATGTAAAATGATGTAAAATCAGAGTGGCAGGCCTTTCATTGATTTTTAGCTGCAATTACCGAAAATGCCTGACTTCAACGATTTCATGATGCTACCTGGTGGACTTTGTCCAGTGAAGGATTGCGCATTGCGATCAACGGGCCCACAAAGTGTTCAACCGTTCAACGTAACTATGGGATGATCGCCACCAGAGGAGGTCGAAACCACCAGATTCAGATTGTTGGTGAAAAAAAACATCATGGATTTTCCCAGTATAATCCTCTGGTAATTTGACAGTTTGCGAACTTGAAAATAGCCATAGAAAATCATAGAAATAGTTGATGTTCCCATTAAAAGCATGGTGATTTTCCATCGTTTTTTGTATGTTTACCAGGCCGGGTACATGTCGATTTCTAGATGATCTTCAAGGATTCCCACTGAGGCGCTAGTGTCCCACTCGGGCACTGATGCAGGTGCCACGGCCGCTTGGTTGCCATCTTTCAGCGACTTGAGGGCTTGGAGGATGATAGAAATATACCTGGACCCTCTAATCTAAGTACTAAGTACCTAGAAAAATGATGAAAACTCAGGTCACCTACCAATGGTGTTGATGATGTTGATTTTTTAAAACAATCTTTTACCGAATTTTATGGCTCTTTGGAGGGTCTAGGTCCAGGCGGTCCAGGTATGGTGAAACTGGACTAATTGGAGATACTGGGATGACAAAACCGAGCAGTTGGACACCCACTTGGGACCCTTGGGACATTGGAAAAAAGCACCCCCCAAGAGCTTCTGTAGTCTTCGTAGAGTAGTAATTTACACATTGCAAACCTATTTTTTCAATATGTTTCCGGTATTTAAGGTGATAATCTGCAGCAGATATTGACACTTTACCAGCGTTTTTGTTGATGTTTCAAACCCAAATCTCCAGCTCGCCATGCCACCAAGGCTTCGAAGAAGATGTCGCCTACCACCCAGGTAGCAGCCACCTTCAGTTTGGCTTTGATCGTGAAAATCCTGTGTATGTTGAGCACCTTGAAAAATCGTACGGTTTTCTGCTGCCACGGCTTTCAATGTGGATTGGGACATGAGATATAATATCCAGTGTATCCAGTATGATGGGTTGGATACACCCGAACTTGCCGGAAAATGGGTGATTCAACTCACCGGCTTTGCGGATATTTCATAGAAAATCGAGTATGGGGATGTATTCCTGGTGGATTTTCCGGTTACCAGTAGCACCATGGTATCATTTCCCACATGGGACAAGAGAAGACCAGCCGTAGCATCAAGTAGCACCTGGGACTGTACCCAGTGGGTGTTCCTCAGTGAAACCCGGAATTTGGTGGAGGTTCTGCTGGAATCAGAAAAAAACTGCTGCTTTTAGCAGCACTTCAGCAATCTCTCCAAGGGAGAGGCTGTTGGTGACGTTGGTGATACCTTTCACAATTTTTCAGGTTTCACCAACCAATAGCAATGGGGGTGTTTGAATTGATTGCAGCAAGGTCGAGAGATACAACAGAACTGAATACAGCAGAAAATGCTGAAGAGCATTGGAGCAAGATTCCAAAAGGGGGTGATCTGCATATCCTGCTGTATTCAACGCATAGCCTCACTCGGCATGCAATACTCCTACCAATTCGGGACATCACAGATGATATGCCATGTTCAATCCTTTGCAATCAGTTGTATGGCAGATAAAGGCAACGGCAAGGGTATGAAGATTGGTTGAAATGTCACAACATGTCTCAGAAATGGATGAAAGCAATGGTATACTGATGTTTGTGCCAAGGGATGCTTGTTTCACTTAAATACTCTTAAATTCAATCTTGAGCTTGCAAGCCAGAGTCCGAAATTCATGGTGACCTGCAAGATAAACCATACTAAGTTACTAAACCATGATAATCCCAACATATCCCAGTCCCATGGTCCTGCCGTGACCTCAAGTTTGTCAGCCGATGCCACGACCAAGGCAATGTGGCCTGCCATGTCTCACCACTGCCGCAGGCGGCATCACTGGTCCCAAGTTGTCTCCCGGAATCCAAAAACTCTGGAAAATCACTATGTTTTAATGGGTAGTCATCAACTATTTCGACTGGGCCATTTTCAATAGCAATGTTAAATTACCAGAGGGCCAGAGGGTATAATATAATATAATCAACATTAATCAACTATTTCTATGGCCATTTTCAAGTTCGCAAAGTGTTAGTCATTTCCAGAGGGTAGTTCACCCCTTCCAGGCCTGGCAGGGGTCTCGTTACGGCCAGGTGCAACAGTTCCACAAGCTGGGCGATACCGGTGAAGCGGACTCTGCACCTTTGATGAGCATCCTCTACAGCGGTTCTCAGTGGTCGCTGGGCGAGTTAGAGGATGGCATGTTCCAATGTTCCAATCCGCGAGCAATGAGAGAAACAGGAGGCTGACTAATGAGATTTAGCTTGAACAATATGTAATAAGCTTGTGAATCTCACCAAAGGGAAGGCAAAAAATGGACATGTTTTTTTTGCGAACTAGGCCACCTAGCGAAGTCTCACAAATATGGAAAATCGATCAAGAATTCAAGAAAAGCTTCTGGGATGCCATTTTGAAGCTGGATCCATCAGCACTTGGCTGTGGGCTGTGAAGGTACAAAAACTGTGAGGGCGGATCATTGCATACCTTTCGCCAGTAATATCGACATGGCGTGTGGCATGTGTCACAATCAGTTGGTCATCAATACCCTTGGCTGATTTTGGACCCGATGTTCGCGTTTCATACGGGTTTGTCCAAAAATATGGTAATGACCGGAGAATCCAACGGCCATCAATTTCATCGGTTTTTCACGACCCTGGGCCATGACCCGTTGGAAAATGGCGGCCACCCAGGGTTTTCTATGGCAACTTCGCCTATTGCATGACGGGCAAGAGTGGCTTTTTGGTGCTCCTTGGCACTCCTTGGTGACAAAATCCGAAAAGTGCTGGAATGGATGGTCGAGTGACGGCAACGATTGAGATCACCGAGATTCCAGGAAGCAGAAAATGAGGATCTGACTGATGCATCCAAGCTATCATAGCAATGGAAAATCATGGAACATCCCCTATAAATAGAGGTTTATAGCTTGGAAAATCATTCATAAATCCATATAGCTATCTATACCTGGTGGATTTTCCAGGGCTTTCCATGTTACCAGAGAGTACATGGCACACATTTCGAAGATCATTTCGCGGAAAAAACCTCGGCCGGGCGCCTGGAACGTCCAAGGCTTGTCTATGCCAACATCACTGGAGCAATCCTGGGCGTTTACTACGTTTGGGGCTTCCAACAAAACTGCCGGGACCAGAAGGCGCTGGCACCGAGCTCAACGACTTGAATTTCTGAAAAGATGAGAAAAGAATGTGAGGTCCATACAGCATTGTTTAACAGACTTGAAAGGGTTACATTAGTTACATTGTTCTTTTAGCAGGAAGATAGGAAGAAGCTCCATCATTCGCTGTGATGGTCAAGGCCTTGCAACAGCTTCAACTCTACTGTCGTGCTGCTGCCTTCGTCTTCTCCCTGCAGTTTCTGGCAGGGGACGTCCAGTCAAGGGAGTGTTGTCCTGGATTTTCATGGGAAAATCATCCAAATCATGGGAACATAACATATATATGTAGGAAAATCCACTATCAATGGATGTTTTGATGGGATAATGTTGACCAAATCTCAGAAGATGGGTATACCCAGTGGTAATCGAATTTCCTTGCAAGGTTTGTAAAACCAACCACTTTATTATGGGACATTGTATGGACATGTATGGAATATATGGCATGAGATGTAATATATAATCTGACCCAAAATATCAAGGGTTTGTCCTTCAAAACGGCTTGGATACCCCAAGGTATAATGGGGAAAATGATGTGAACCGCAGAGATTTTGATGGGGGTTTGCAACTGGACAATGGCTGCACTGTTTGAGGCAGCCCTGAACTTTCTCTATGAAGATGAAACTTGTTGGATGCTATGGAAACACGTTTGCTGGTGCTTGAAAAAGTACGATGTTCATAGACATGGGATGATCCCAACGTTCAGATTTTGAAAGGATGATTGGTTCCGCCAACCATTGCACTGGATGTTTGATTTTGCCCAAGCTCGCCACGCATGAGGCAGTTTGGAGCCTCAGTTTCAGCAGCGCGCTCTTCTTTAGCGGTCTCATGGCGTCTCTCTCAAGTGACCTGACAGATTTCTTCGATCAGATCGAAGAGATTGGAGTTGAGCTAGATAACTTGATCCATTGGTTGTCATATCCCATAGGATCCATGTATGGTATATATGCTAACATTGGTGGTATGTTGATGGTAAATGTTACCATCTATAGCATACATGGATCCTATGGGTATGTTATCACATTTCCCGTGAACTTGGCAAAATTGAGGTATCTCCGCTTTTGAAAACCACATTATGGACTAACTACTTGTATATATGGGCTTATCCGATAAACATCAGAAAAAAATCAACCCTTCGTGGCACATCATCTTCTGATGACGATGGGATGGAATTTGGGATGTCCAAACTCAGCTTCACCGCTCCACTCCGCCTGCCAGGTATTATTGGCGCCTGTTCTCTTTGCTCCACCCTGCCCAAGGTGATCAAGACCCAATGCTCCGCTTCCATCAATTTGGAGCTGCTGATTGTGGGCATTTGTTCCTTGGATGCTGAAGGGTTGATTCGAATCTCTGGATTTCCTGTATCTTTGCTACTGTGGTCAATGCATCAAGTATCCCTTGCCTTCATGACCTTATCCTGTGGAGACCTTGTCATCCACCATGGATGAGGACAGAATTCCAAGGGTGAATCCTGCAGCATTGCCACCTGCGCAGGTTCCTCCATGCTGTGGGTGAGCTGCGGCGTGATGCTGTGGGACGCATGGATCCTTTTGCCGAAGCTTCGCTAGTTGGAGTCCTTGGCGGGTTGGATACCCCATGGCAATGGTTCATGGAGAAAGCGATATCCAATGTGGGATGGCATTTTTTGGTACCCTATGGTAGCCTAGTCTTGCAGAAACTGATGCTGGGATGCTGGCTCAAAAACGTGCCGGTGCAGTGCCTGAAAAGCTAGTCTTCTACTTGAAATGGCTATGCCTCAAAACCTTGGTGCCATAGGTACCCTAAAATAGCTGGCTAATGAATGTTTATTCCCAAAAAACATGGTAATAATAGGTTTTGACCCATCCCCAAATGATCGGCTAACTTTGATCGAAAGCATGGTGTTGGCCAGTTGGTCCATGGAAGACATCCAAAAATGGGCGTCACCCCCATCCAGGTGCTTTTCATAGCTATCAGTGGGAATTTTAGGACCCTAAAATGGAGGAGCTGTGATGAGGCCAACATTGAGTTTTATATTATATATGTTATCTATTTGCTGGGGATATCCGCGTAACCAGGCCTTATATATGGATTATATGGTAAGTACCTACAATTTAGGTCCCTGAACTTGCCTGTTTTAATTAATGGTTCATATGAATCCCATGAATATCCTCTGAATACTTCATTAAATATACCATTAATATCCCAGTATAGAGTCATTATATGGTCATTAACTGGCCATTGATACCTATCCCTCCCATCCTCAAAGAAGTGAGCGTTTCGAGGACGCTCTTTGGCTTGGTGATCCAATTGGCCTGCGGCTTCTTCGTCTTGCTGTTCCCCAGAGAGGCGCGGCTGCGGCAAAGCTTGGTGGATTTGAAGTCCCGAACGGATGTTGAAGCTGAACCAGCAGAAAATATGTAGGGATTAGTAGCCCAGAAATGAGGCTTATTGATGTGAACCGTCTGACATGATAAAAAACAAAAAGGGAATATGTGACCCGCAAAATGATGCTGGTATATGCTGGTTGCTTGGGGGCTTATTCTACCAAATTTATATATCTAGACCCTCCAAGTACCTAGAAAAATGAAGTAACTCACACCTATTCTTATGGCTACTGGGAGGGTCTAAGTGGAGCTGAGCAAGAAAAGGTGACTCCCCCAACAACACACAGGCCCACCAAGGACCTACCGACCACCAACAACCACCAACAACCACCAACAATAAGGGCTTGGTTGAATCATTTATTGAATCTAGGGGTCACCGACCTGGGGGGTTGTTGTTTTTTTGAATCACCAATCTCAGTCAATTCGGAGAGATATATAAGGAGAACCCTTTTTTTCCGTATGTGCAGAGTATTTTTTTGGGGTTTCCCCAATGGATTCCCCCATGGCAAAAAACTCCACAGTGCTAGGAGCAAGGTGATTTGATTCATCGTCCCTCACGGTCGCCGATTTGTTGTTGGGTCCTCCCGAAAAACCACTGCGGCGAGCAGAACGAGGCGCAAGATTCAAATCACTATTTTTATGGATATAAATTGGTCGGATTCCAACCATCCCCCTTTTTGGTTTTTTTTGGCATTGGAGCAAAGCTACATGATACTTTACCCTCTGGTGATTTAACATAGCAGATGGCCCATTTATAGATACTTATAGACTTATAGATGAGAAGAATATACAAGGATGACGATTTACCTACGGAAAAATGGCGATTGTCATGGCTACGTTAAAATAACCAGATGGTAAGTGGTGATGGCTGGAAATCGATGACGGGGTTGCTCCGACTCATTATATGCAAATTCCTGCCACAATGGAGGCCAGTTGATTGTTTTATCATATTTTATCTCTGTATTTGGCAACATTTGCCACCCTTTTCTATATCTGGGGTGTTGGGAGCAACCCTGCATGATATTGGGCTTGGCTGTCATGGGCTTTGGCATGGTTTGGATGGATATGGTATGATGATGTATGTGTTTGGGTTGTAGTACTGCATATCAACGGAACACGGACGGCTCAAAATCTTCGATTTTTCATTTTTCACTGATGAATGCGGGGAATGAAGATGCATTTCCAAACGACTTTGATGTTCAAGACCTGTAATTGTCCACCTATTCATGCACATTGCGCTCATACGCATGTACGATTTTGGGGTGGAGAGGAGGTACATGGTTAGGTGGATGTGTGTTTCAATCTGAATGGCAGCTTCCAAAAAGCAACGCTTTGGCGGAACGTGAAACACAGTATCTCCTATGTGTAAGCTGCCCATGAAAAAAAAAACGTCTCGACAGCAAAGGCACCAACACAAGTCCACCAAAGTGGACAGATTGTAACTGGTTGGTGTTTTGGAACGTTTTTTTATTTTTCCATTCAGTTTGGAATGTCATCATCCCAACTGACGAAGTCATATTTTTCAGAGGGGTAGGTTGAAACCACCAACCAGATAAGTTTGTTCTGGAAGCCTACTTCGATCCTCAATGGTTTGATCACCATGACTCACCTTAGTCTAAGTCATCCCCCAGCAGGGTTACTATATAAAATGCGCTAAACCTTGTGAATTATATCATATTCAATATTCAATATCCTCTAAAGGTTTCGTTGATTTTGAATGGAAATTACTAAGTCTTCTTCCTGGTTATATGTTATACTTCTTCGTTAGATCGACATCTTTGCTGGGTTTTACTTTGGGTTTTACTTCGCACTTACCGAGATCGTTTCTGCTGGTTCACTTCCCCATGGTCAGACGTTGTAGGAGTTATGAACTACTTGCTAGTCTGTTGGATATGGTATCTTATAACCCCACTGGGGAACAATAGTTTGTATTATATATATAGTTTGTTGGATATGTATATATATATATATATGTGCTATATATATATATGCTATATATATGCTATATATATATGCTATATATATATATGCTATATATATATTATCTTATAACCCCAATATACCAAAAATATCTATAGGATATCTCAAAAAAAAACATATATAAGTCCTAATATAGATCCTATATGCTGGTTGGTGGTTTGGAACATGGCTTTTATTTTTCTATTCAGTTGGGAATGTCATCATCCCAACTGACTTTCATATGTTTCAGAGGGGTAGGTCAACCACCAAAAAGTATATGGTATCGTTTAACCCCAATAAGACCATCTTATCCAACCAGATACATTAATTTCATCCAGTGCATGTTGCTTCTGCCCCACCGATCTGTGCAATTTGAGGCCACCAAACGGTAGCTAAGTTGACGCACATAAATTGCTCAACTACAGTAGGGTTTATGGGGAATATCACCACATATAGTTAGTGGAATTGATAAACGACAAGGTGGTGCCCCATAGCTGGGTTGGGTTTATCCAGTTTAACTATGTTTAACTTCAGTTTATGGCAGATATTACCCTCTGGTAATTTAACATAGCTATGGAAAATCACAATTTTTCATGGGAAAATCCACTATAAATGGCCATTTTCAATAGCTATGTTAAATTACCAGAGGGTATATCGTTATAAACCAACATTCACATCACTGGGGCCACCCCCAGGATGCTTCCCCTGCGCCAAGCCGCGCGGCGGCTGCCGCCGCACAGATCCGTGCGGCGCTGGCGCAGCGGCAAAGCGTTACCGCGCGGGGCACGGAGGACTACGGCAGCACGGTGGGGAGCCGCAGAACTGACGTTTTTTCTCTGGAAAAAACAGGGCGAATTTACGGGTTCACTCATTTCTTACCCATGGAGAATTGCTGTAAGATAGGTGGTATACCCCATTTGCAGATACCCAATGTGGAAAAAATGAAGGATGTTGATTTCCTTCAAAATTATATAGAGATACTATTGTGGGGCATAGTGCTGGCATTCTTGCATAGGGAAACCCAGTTGCCGCCACAAGTGGTACAAGGGTCAAGAAATTCGTGAAGAGCCACAATAGTGTTGTTGGAGAATCGCGACCGATCAACATGATCTCAACTCTGCAAGGTGGTACCCCATGGTTAGCTAAGTTGGTTTATAAGTCCAATAACTATGGTTTATAGGTGTTATATCTATAGTTTATGGGATTATAACCCATTTATAACTGGGGGGGCACCACCTTGTGGCCCATGCCAACGAGTTCACCGTGAAAAAGTTTCTTGGGAAATCTGGGGGCCGGATGGTGAAGCTGTTGCAGGAAGTCCCTGAAGATATGGCTCGCACTGAAGATATCCGAAGATCTTTAAATGATTGTTTGCGTGTGTTTTTTGGAGGTGTACGTAGAAAAAAACTCCTTGTCACAAATGGACAAGGCATTGAATCCTTGTGCACACCGCCCAATCTGTTTTGAAACTTATACAGATCTTGATCACTCTCTACCTTTGGACTGTGACTTGTCGAACAATTTGTTGAACGTTGATATTCACGGCTTTCAACAACGAAAGTTGGTAGCTTCAACCCTCGCTGGGGATCAAGTCACCCTCATCCACTGAGGCAGCTGGTGCGGGAACTGGCGGTACGTGTTGAGGCGTGAGGCGCGGTGGCTTCCCCAACAACAGAGGATGTGTTTTGAACATGTGCAGCTACTTCGGGGTGCAGTTTGTTTATTGAATTTTTCCGGGGTATTTTTTTGGTATATGGCCATGGTTACCCTCTGGTGAACTAACATAGCTATTGAAAATGGCCATAGAAATAGTGGATTTTGATTTTCCCATTAAAAATGGTGATTTTCCATAGTTTTTTGTATGTTTACCAGAGGGTACAGTCCAAACATTCCCAAACTATGGGGGTGACATGTCCAACAGCTGCCGCCCAGCATCCGAGGCATGCAGCGCGTTGCTGGCGCCGCAGCAGCCGCAGAAACAAAAGAAAAAGCTGCAGAAGTGCTGTAAGATTTATGCCATTCACAGGGAGATATTTTTGCTAAGCATGGAAAATCTGGGTTTGTTTGAAAACGCATGACACTTTTTTTTTGTGTGAGTCCACTTTTCATCATTTTCCATATGTTTTTTCATTGACATGAATTAACCATGTTTTTTTTCGGGTGGTCCATGTTCAAATAATTAAAACGATCATCGCCGGATGTTTCTGCGATGAGACTGATGGACATGACAATTCTGGCCATCGCCATAGTTGTCCACAGTAAATCTCTATCAATTCCATCAAATTCCTTGGTTCTTGAGAGTAGTTGAAGATCATTTATATAGTTTATATATTTTTATATAAGAAAAAACAGTCATCAGTTCCATACATGTCCATACATTTCCCATAGATGTCCCATGTTTTCTTGGGACTTGCTGACCATCATTGACTTCTGGGAAACTGCTGGCTCAGCTTCGGGACCATACGATTCCTGCCAGCGGAGGGCGGAGGCCGCTGGTCGGGGCCGTGATATACTCATTATTGCTATGGATCAATACCTATATGTGGGTTTCCTAAAATGGGGGTACCCCCAGTCATCATCCAAAATAAGAATTTTAGGATTGAAAGCTATGCTGACTTGGGGTCCTCTCATTTTAGGAAACCTCCAAAAAAAAAATATATATATACATATACATATTATAGCTTTTTGGGAGGATGAACATCCAGCTACACCATCTATCTTGGTGTGAACAGAAGGGGTACAGTACAAGGTTTTGACCCATAGCCATATATCATTATATAATATTAAAATTGCATATAGTATCACATAATTATACGGTTTTATCGGGCCTGATGTCACTATCAAGGCCAATCGTGTATTATCCAAGTCTCACTCTGTGATGTTTGTGTCAGTTTTTGTGTTTTGGCTTTGGGTTGCTCATTGCTCTGACATGGGTCGTGCCCATCGTACCGAATAGGGGCCTGCTGAAGATATGGTGCCATTTTTTGATCTGAAAATATGGTGCCTAAGTCAAAATTAATCAACATCAAGAGAAATAAATTCAAGATAAATTCCATATTGACTTAGGGATTTTGCCATAACTTGATCTAGTTGATGGTTTGGAACATTTTTATTTTTCCACATATTGGGAATGTCATAGTCACAACTGACATACTGACGAACTCATATTTTTCAGATGGGTAGGTCAACCATCAACCAGTGATATTAGCACCATAATGCACCATATATCTTGAAGCACTTCGCTTAGGATGCCGTTGATTCCAGGTCGAAATTCCACCGATCTCCATCAAGGTCACATGTCACTGGCGCCAGGTTGAAACGGGAGCCCGTCTGCCCCCATGGTTTGCAGGAGCCGGCCGGCTGGAGCTGTTGAATTAAGCCATCCTCACCGAACATGACCCAAATAGATTCATCAGATTTGCTGAATATACATATATATATATATAGATGAACCAGATTTGCAGTCACTCAATGTCATTCAACTTTTTTTTTGACATGTGATTTGTCACATCCGCACATGTGAAGTCACTTCTGCTGATACGTATTTCGGGATCATGTGGGATTGAAAGCAACCAATCCTGGCACTAGCCAGGATACTAGGGCATATGTACAGTGTATATATGAACATGTATATTGTATAATATTCATATAGTCTAGTATAATACCTGATTGGTGGTTTGGAACATTTTTTATTTTCCATAATATATGGGATGTCATCCTTCCCATTGACTGTCAAATTTTTCAGAGGGGTAGGTCAACCACCAACCAGATACTGTACATTGTTTTTCGCTTTTGGCTCCTTCAGCACGTTGCTTCGCAGGTAGAGTCCGAGGCGAATGGTTTCAAGGTACCTTTGGTTCAGAGAGGGCAGGGTGGTTCAGAGGATACCCGGCCTGGTAAACATACAAAAAAACTATGGAAACTCACCATTTATAGTCAGTTTTCCCATGAAAAAATGTGATTTTCCATAGTTATGTTAGTTTACCAGAGGATTTGTTGTTTTTGCATGAGGTGATAGTGCTTCATGTGCTTCTGAAAATCAAGATCACAGCAAAGGGAGTGGAGTCAGTGGAGATGGCAAATCGGAAGTGCCGATGGATTTTGCCAGGATATAGATTCATGTTGTTCAAAAAGTTCCAACATCTTCATATTCGATTGCAATGTTTGTTTTTACTTGTACATTTGAAACTGGTGTCTATGTGCATCAATGCAGTATACCTAAACTCTTTGTTTCTCCAATTAGATAATTAGATTAGTGCCAAAATGGGGTATGTTTACATATATATTAATATATCTTGTTGGTGGTTTGGAACATTATATATTTTTCCATATATTGGGAACAATAATCCCATTTGACAAACTCCATCATTTTTCAGAGGGGTAGGTAGGTCAACCACCAGATATGTAGCCCATGCTTCAACCAGTTTCATACAAGGTGGCCCCCCAGTTATAAATGGGTTATAATCCCATTAACTATAGATATAACACCTATAAACCATAGTTATTGGACTTATAAACCAACTTAGCTAACTATGGGGCACCACCTTGTAGGCTTTGGATAGGGGAGAAGCTGGTCAAAATCGCCTGGACCGAAGCGAACTGTTCGAGGTTCGTGCGTCGTGCCACAAGACCTGCGCCTGTCCCCGAGGCGCGCTTACGCCCATTTTCGTGCCGATTGGAACTTACCACAGAAGTATCTAAATGTATTTCATATAGAAGTATGTAAGTATAAATTATAGATATATGAATAATGGAAGTATAAATTATAGATATATGAATAATGGAAGTATAAATTATAGATATATGAATAATGGAAGTATAAATTATAGATAGATGAATAATGGAAGTATAAATTATAGATAGATGAATAATGGAAGTATAAAATATAGAGATATGAATAATGGAAGTATAAATTATAGATATATGAATAATGGAAGTATAAATTATAGATAGATGAATAATGGAAGTATAAATTATAGATATATGAATAATGGAAGTATAAATTATAGATATATATGAATAATGGAAGTATAAATTATAGATAGATGAATAATGGAAGTATAAAATATAGAGATATGAATAATGGAAGTATAAATTATAGATATATGAATAATGGAAGTATAAATTATAGATATATGAATAATGGACGTATAAATTATAGATAGATGAATAATGGAAGTATAAATTATAGATAGATGAATAATGGAAGTATAAATCATAGATAGATGAATAACGGAAGTATAGATTATAGATATATCATAAATATATCATGCATATATCATGAATCATGAGACATTCCAACCCGACCATTACTTTCAACCATAGCCCCACTCCGGGATCCAGGTGGAAGCACCTCTGGTTTCAACCGCGAGTCCATCTGGACCCAAGCAGCTCATCGAGGCGGAGACCATGGAGACCCAGACCCCCCGAAAATTTCGCGAAGATATGGGAGGATGTTGATAAAACCATGAAGTTTGGAGTAGCCTATTTTTACCTATTTTATCTATGTTAACCTATTTTATCTATTTTCAGAGCCATTTGGATCCATGTTTTTGTCCTTAGAACGGGGATGTTTGATGCGTTTCCCTTGAACTGGGTTGATTAGCTACCAAAACCATCCAAATCCTCAACGAAGATTTTAATCCCCTTAGTTAAATGGTTTGGATAGACATTATGGGCATATGATGGGGTCACTGTTACGGTATGATGGGACATGATGAGATACGATTTCACGGGATTTGAAGGGATAGAAAGTGTTATAAAGTGATATAAAGTGATGTAAAGTGATATAAAGTGATATATTGAGGATACAAGTTGAGGATACAACTAACAGTGCGGGGCCCAGTGTAAGGATGCACATTTGTTTTTCCCCCTGAGACGTAGGGAACTTTTTCCGCTTCACGAATGGGCAAAGTAAGCTCTGAAGATTGGGGGGCAGAATGGGTCTTGTCCAAATATGGGTGGGACTTACCTCCAATTTATGCCCAGAGAGGCGAAACATGGATGAATTTTTAGCGTGAAACCATGAGATGTCCTGGTTTTCGGAGACAAACGCACAAGAATGGTGAGAAATGATTTACTCTCTGTTAACTAGCAACAATGGGAAGTCTTAAGTAACAGAAAAAGTGTATGTGACGCACAAAGAAAGATGCTGATGTTCTACCAAAAACAGGAATCAGAAGCAACAATCAATGAAACAAATGGATAAACATAGTAAGCACCTGTTTGCAAACAAACCCGGTGTGGAAAGGAGATGCATACAGTAGTCATTCACCTGTACCAAAAAAATGAGTTGTTCTATTCCCCGGTAAACAAACCAGGAAACAAGCCAGCAAACAAACCATATCCAGTGAACCTTCGCCGTAAAAAATAAGTTATTCTATGCCCTGTTGTGCGTGCCAGGGCAAGCACAAAGCTCCGAGATGTTCCATCGAAGCCGGGAGAGCCTAGAGACGAAGTGAAGTGAAAACCCTCTGGTAAACATACAAAAAGCTATTGAAAATAGCCATGTTATAGTTGATTTACCTCTTAATTAATAGCATGGTGATTTTCCATAGATTTGTGTTAACGCTTACCAGAGGGTATATATGGGCTAATAGTATATAATCTGGTTGGTGGTTGGGAACATGATTTTTTTATGACTTTCCATTCAGTTGGGAATGTCATCATCCCAACTGACGAACTCATTTTTTTCAGAGGCGTAGGTAAACCACCAATCAGAATAGATCTTCAAGTTGCCATGGACTCGAGGTTGGATGGCAACAGGGCAGTTTTTTTTTGGCAACCAAATCTTGAATCGGATGGCAATGAGCTTCATGTTGCTTGCAGTTTTACTTGCCATGTTGGGTAAGGTGATTTGGTGGAGACGGAGCAAGTGCACGATTTACTCGGGAATACTTAACCAAGGATGTCAACAAACACATATTGTGACATGGCACAGCATCGCAGATGTGAAATCAGAGAGGACATAGGACATCATAGGACCACATCATACCACAAGCAACAAGATGGAGCCCGGGATCTGCAAAAAATGGTCATGCGGAGAATAAAAGGAATAAGATCCAAAGTTCCTTGCGGAGATGTGCGGATGGGAAGTTCACGTTGCTAGATCGGATCCTGTCTTAGGTAGCGACGCACACAGCAAAGAACTGGGGCGGCCGGCATGAGAATGAGGACGTTGATGGCTGCGGTGGAGAAGTGAGGTTCAGAACCTCCAACTCGGAACGTCACTTGAGAGTTGGAAAAGGAGTGAAACACCATGTGTTTATATCTATATATTGTTTCAATGAGCATACCTGTACACATAGTATAATCCTACACATAAAATAACTACAATTGTATACAGTTGTACATTCCATGTGTATATATATATATACATATACGGATGGATATATATATATGATTATTAGTGAGTATAATTATATTATATATTATACATATATATATATATATACACAGAAGTACCATATAATGTTTCTCATTTCTGTTTGCATTTAGCATACTTTTCTTGGCCCAGCTCTTCCTCCCCTGCCGCGCTTTCGCTTTCCCGCGCAGGATCGTTGTATGGCGTCTCAGGACACTCTCAACGAGTCCTTCCCGTTTCACACCGCCTCTTGACACAGAGAAACTGCTTCGCCGGAGAAACTACTTGGAATATCCCCCTTGGAATTTCCACTAAAGAATGGGACAACCCGGGTTGTCGCAAAAAAGTTTTTTTGCTAAAACAGGTGGTTTTTCCACATGGCTAACCCGGACTCCCCATTTTTTGCAAAGGCTTCCTGGGTCAGGATTTTTTAGAGAGGGCATTTTGAGAGGGAATAGACTGATTGATTTTTTGGGCACATTTGGTATTTTTATACGTGTTGACATCCACATGGCCAACATGGACTCCCTATTTTTTAGAGTTCTGCATTTGTATTTGTAGTTTTTTCGTATTTTTTGTATTTTTTTGTAGTTGGCTGCCTGGGCCATGATTTTTTAGATGGTCTTAGACCCCCTTGCACCCTGGGTAGGCATTCTTTAGATGTGCCATTTTAGTAGTGCAAGGTGGACCACCGTTTTTTGCCTAAAAAATGATGGAGTCCATGTTAGCAGGGGAATTCCAACAGTGATCTTGGAATTATATTATAGTACTATTCTATTTTACGGATTATTATGGGGTGTTGGAAGAAAATCCATCTTGGAATTATTAGGAATGTGTTTATTTAGATCTTTTGGTATGCTTTAAAAAAACAATATAAATGTGCCTATGTTTGCATATTATACTACATCAGAATTTTCAGATGTCACATATCTCTTCATCAATAATCATCCTGATATATACTTAATATGTATTGTTTGTAATTACTAATCCTGAAATATCTGATATAGGATAATTATATCAGGTCATACAAACAGATCCCATATCAGAATAAGTATGGTACAAACAATGAGATAGTACCAACAATAACTATATCTGACAATAGGTTTGATATTAGGATTGTCTCTATATGAATTATCTATTCTCATGACATATATCCTATCTATATATCCTACATCCTGAGATATTTGAGATTCCGGATATATAGATTCATATATATATATATATCCTCAGGACATCCAACAAATATTCATATTTAGGTCCTAGAATAATTTCCAAAAATATCCCAAAAATATCTAGGATATCCCCAAAATAAAACATATATAAGTCCTATAGATCCTATGACTATACCACCGAGAATATCCTCGGGAGATCATCTGCAGGTGGGCGTCTTGGACGGTCACGACACCGATTCCGCCTCCGACCTGGTGCCTTCACGGATAAAAGCCACGGAAAATATCGAGAAATTATGGGTGATTACTGCTGATCAATAGGGAGATTTTTAGGGATTAAACCAACCGGTAACCAACCAACCATATATATATATATATCATATATCTGGGGTAGCCCTAGTTAATTATTCATTTTTGTTGATGGGTTTTCCATGAAAAAAAACATCCATATGGGAAGGATATGTTGTATGTATATACTATATCTGGGCAAATTATAACGACCTCACTGTTCTCCCGAGCCCTGGAATCATGGTTAAGTTAATAAGAGGAATCACCCCAAAATGGCCGCAAGTTTCAGGTTAGTGAATTATTATCAGTAATTTGGAGAAATTATGAGACACTGAGACGTTTTTGGATTATGTTTGGATCCTGGATAAGTCACTGGAGAGTCTTCGAAATATATGTTTAACCATATTTGGTGAGAATTCATGCTGTAATTCCAATTGGAAGTGGCACACTGGCACACCCCAGTCAAAGTATGGCTGCCCCTGCTTTTGCCCTAGTGGCTGATAGGAATTATCATAGTTTGCCCAGATACCCGGGAGTAGTTTTCTCTAGCCGAGGTCGCGAAACTGCTTCCGGGTGCCGTTGGAAGGCGGATCAAGGCCCGAATTTGTTTTTGTTTGGGGCTGAAAAGATTCATGTGAAGATTGATGAAATAAGGTTGAGAGCTGCAAAATGGAAAAAACTGCTTACTTGAGCGGGCTTTCAAGTCCTGAATGTTTTTTTCCCCACCTGCCAGGTGAGGGTTGTTAGATTTTATGTCAGTTGCCTCCTCCTCCTTCTCCTCCTCCTCCTCCCGCCTCCTCCTGCCTCGTCCTCCTCTCCTCCTCCTCCTCGTCCTCCTCGTCGTCCTCGTCGTCCTCGTCGTCCTTGCTCAACTGCGACCCGCGATCCACAGTGTTCTCTGCCGGACCTCAACCACGACCATCCACGCCCAGTGTTCCCTGCCGGACCTCAACCACGACCATCCACGCCCAATGTTCCCTGCCGGACCTCAACCACGACCATCCTCGCCCAGTGTTCCCTGCCGGACCTCAACCACGACCATCCACGCCCAGTGTTCCCTGCCGGACCTCAACCGCGAGTATCCACGCCAAGTGTTCCCTGCCGGACCTCATGTAGGAAGATATGGGACAAAGAATGTGCAGAAGAAAGTTAGAAAGAATGTCAGAAAGAATGTCATGATATGCCAGAAGATATGCCAGAAGATATGCCAGATAGAATGCCAGATAATATGCCAGAAGATATGCCAGATAGAATGCCAGAAGATTTGCCAGATTGAATGCCAGAAAATATGCCAGAAGATATGCCAGATAGATATGCCAGAAGATATGCCAGAAGATATGCCAGAAGATATGCCAGAAGATATGTCAGAATATATGCCAGAAGATATGTCAGATAGAATGCCAGAAGATATGTCAGATATATGCCAGAAGATATGCCAGATAGAATGCCAGATTGAATGCCAGAAGATATGTCAGATAGAATGCCAGAAGATATGCCAGATAGAATGCCAGAAGAATGCCAGATAGAATGCCAGAAGATATGCCAGAAGATATGCCAGATATCATATGCCAGAAGATATGCCAGATAGAATGCCAAATAGAATGTCAGAAGATATGTCAGATAGAATGCCAGAAGATTTGCCAGTAAGAAAATGTATAAATGTCATGGTGGGGATCACACGAAGTAAAGTAATTTGGATATAGAACTCAGACGCTTGAGGCTTCAAAAGATTGACGCATGACACGGACAGTTTGGTTTCTGTCACAGGGAGGAGTTGCCTGAGTTTCTGTGCAGCCAAAATCGTCCAGTAGCTTACATACAATATATATATGTTTATAATATTACTATTTATCGTTATTAAAAATAATGATAATTTGTTGCTTTATGTATATCATATATATATATTTGTGTTTGTTATTTATATATTTGTCATGTATTGTCCGAACAAATAACTGTAATTATAACTATAAATATTATACATAGTGTCCCCCCAACATAGAACTTGAGAATAGACTTTTCCCCAAGAGAAAAGTAGTCCTCCTCCCACATTCGTGGCGGTGTCTGTTGGGAGGGATGGTTTCCTGTCAGGAAGGTCTCCCTATCGGCCAGGTGGGGAAGGGGCGTTTCTCGGTGCACGGGTGAATCGTTGATAATCAGAGATTGTGGCATGTCATGATTGGGAATGATTCATGAATGTACATGATAGTTGCATGATAGTATGATCTTTATTAGTGAGATGTTTGATATTGTTGGATGATAATGTGATAATATGATTTATGCAGAGTCAAGCAGAGATTGTAGATGATAGATGATATGTTTTTTTTACTGTTATTTCCATTACAGATATGATAGCGAATCACCTTGGATTGAATGGAATCGTCGATGCCGTCGAACGCCAGGCCTATATGGAAGCCATGGCTGAAATGGAGGACAAACTGAAGAAAGAGCACGCCACTGCCGGCACGTCACCGCACTCGGCGCATCGAACACATGACAGGTTGTGTCCGAAAGACTGACATGTTGAATCATGAAAGAACTGGGATTTATTCTTAAAACATTGGTGTTTTTTGGCAATAGCGTCTCTCAAAATTGAGGGTTGAGCCCATTTTTCCACGGTCATGTTATGTCACTTCTTGGAAAACAATGACCAACAAAGGGAGGTATGATGGAATATGATGGAATGCTATCCCCTATTTTCAGACAAGATATTTCGTCACTTCTGATTCGAAGGGGCGTCCAAGTGATTTGGAACACACGGCGTAGCGGCGGCATTCGCGCCAGATGGAGGATATTCAGATCATTTTAGATCGGCGCTGTGCACATGTGTGAACCAAATTTCAAGACATCATGTACCAAGAAAGGTTTAGGTAGGTCTCAATCATCTCAATGATTCTAAATTTTGAAGGGATTGAGATGATTGAGGCCTACTGGTACCAAAATGTAGAAAGCATATGAAAGCATGCCAAGCACTCCTTTGTTTTTAGTGCAGATAAGCAGCCAAATATTTCAGGGTGGGTAAACCTGGATTTGCTGAAACAACTTCTGTTTTGTTCAATCTTCCGATTGCAATTTCCGTCATAATTTCAAGATATTTCAAGATATTTCAAGATATTTCAAGATATTTCAAGAATCTAACGGGAATAATTAGGTCCGGTTTTTTCTATGGTCCCTTTAAAAAAGTGAATCCAAGTAAAAGGAAGAACCTATAGCGTCGTAGCCTTTTAAGAGGATAGTTCAATTTAAGACATATAAGGCCAAATTGTAATAATGTGGGTAAAACGGGCCGCCAGTTCCAAAGCGCTGCTCCGCCACCTAAGGTGTGTCAACAGCTGCACCATTGCTGGAGGTTTGGTGGGTGGATTCTTCCACCAAAGTTGATCCATTCAAAATATCACTGTTGATTGGTTATGACATACGGGTAAAATGTATACTGGCTTATTCCGGACCATTAAAACATATTAAAACCCATCATAGGAATATACACGATGCAACCAGTATTTAGTTCATGGGATTGGATAGGGGTATTTTTTCATGGATCATGTTGTGGCAACTTTGATGAGGAAACTGATCATTAACCATAGGGGTACCTTATGTCCAGACCCAATTTTGCTGGTGAATCTGCGCGGGCAATCTATTGAACAGATTTCGCAGGAAAAGAAAACAACATCACAAGACAAAAACCTTTCTTGTAGCATATAAGTCCAACATGATCTAACATGTGTTTCCATATTATTCTTGCAACGGATGTTTCACTACTTTAGACTGTTCTATTTGTTTCTGGCGATTGTTAAATATCAAACTGCAAAAAAATAGCACGATTGTTGGCTAATTACCACTAACTATTATTCATGGATTACTTTCCCATTATATTTTCTGCATTATATATCTATAGTTATTTGATGTGAGTTGATCAGTCTTTTCCAGCATTATTGCACTGTGATATGTTTTTTCCATATCTTCCCGTTATAGATCATATCATTATTATATCTCCATTATGAAATATCCAACTATCATATATCTAACTATTATGTTCCCATTATGTATATATATATATATATATATATCTCCATGATTTGGGAATATTATGACATATTCCCATATATACATACATTATATATCATTATATCTCATATATAACTATCATATACCTGGATCTTCGAAAGGACACAAATAATTGTCCGTTTGCAAGATTTCTGCCATTAGGGCGGATTTCTTGTAAAGGAGCTGGAAATGGTCATTTTTTGACTACTGTGGTCAATTTTGGATTTCGTACCTTTTGGGCTGATATTACTCTACTTTGCGTAAAAATGTGTCGATTTTTCTGGGCGGAAATTCCCGGGAAAAGGGCGGACATACCCGGGAAAAGGGAGGAAATACCCGGGCAGATTCATCATGACTCAAAAAATGAAAACATGAAGTGGTAAGTGTTTTTGTTGAAATGGTAATTTTTATTTTGAAATGCACAAATCTACAGAAAATGGACAGAAATCAAACAAAAATCTGCCCTGGAAAGAAAATTGTAACCAATGAATATCCAGGTATCTAACTATATTTTCATACATCATTATGAAATATCTCCATGATTTCTCTATGATTTCCCCATGTTAAATCCGCAACACAAAACGCTTCGCGAACACGGCACGGCAGGCCGTGTTTGGTGCGCCAACTTGGGCGACTGCAGAGCCGCACTCGTCACCTTGGAGGCGTCAATGGGCTGCTTGTTACCCCTGTTGGTTGATGATTTTCATGGGGATTTCACCATGACATATATCCTATCTATAGATCCTACATCCTGAGATTTTTGAGAGTCCGGATATATAGGTTCATAATGGTTCATGTATATATATATATCCTCAGGACATCCAACAAATTGAGAATATTTATAGGGGGTTAACCAGCAATATTATGGGGTAAAATAGTGTAAACTGATAGTCATGGTTGATTGAGGATTAGTTCGGGGATGACAAACTATCCTTGAAAAACAGTGGAGATTAATCGATTATTTATTTCATAATCCTAGAACGGGGCATGCCGATTTTCACCAACACCTCTATTTCATTGAACGAAAAAGTTCAGGATTTATTTCAAACTGCTGAAATGACAGTTCGGGTGCCCTGGTTACAGCTGGTTCGTTTCTTGGTGGTGAAATCCCCACTGGATGGTGCCATGATGGATCCAGATGACCAGGTTTGATCCAATAAAAATGCTCGGTCATCCCGGCATGAGAAAGGCACCATCCATTGGGTAAATTCCCAAAGTTTTTGGTGGGTAAATTCCCAATGATCAATGCATAAACGCACCATCCCCCAGAAAAAGAAAAGCATTTTTTGGTTGGTGCTATAGATAAACCATTCCCAGTCATGGCTGGTTTATTGCATTGTTTTAACCACATTATAGGGTTTAAGCATCATACAGTTGTAGGGCGTTTAACCATCATGTTTCCATATTTAACATGGTTTTACCCATTTAATCTGGAGAAACATGAAGGGTTTATACCGTTAATATTATAGATGGGTGACTTGACCATCAACGATGGAGGGTACCAATGGACCTGTGTTTCTTGTTGAAAGCATCATATTTCCATCCATTGGTGGAGGTTCGAGTGTTGAGCCATTCCAAATCTGAGAATCCAAATCTGAGCGTATCCTGAGTCTAAGCCTGAGAATTGATTTATGATGATTCAAGGTGGTGCCTCTCCAGTCATAATATAAGTTGTTTTCTAAGCCCCGTTAAGTATAGATATATCTACTACCATAAACCCAAGTGAAGTTGGGGTGAACTGAACCAACTTAGCTAACTATGGGGGTCATAATGGGGTTGATTGTGTCACTGTTTCCACTCTATATATATATATATATGTATATATATATATTATAAGCATAGCTATAGGGGCATATTCCCTTTGGTAATTCAAGGGGTTGCTAAAACAAATAACCCAATGCGTGGAGCCTATCACCGTGGTCATGTTTGCTGCTGGATTGTACCCCTGTTAACTAGTTCAATTAATATCTAGCTAGCCTTATAAGTTAACTTCGTCAAGACTTTGCATACGTCCCAAATTTATGATATATATATATATAGTGGATTATATCTAATATTGTAGACAAACAAGTAACTTAAGTATTATATCATATTATATCTCTTTATCCCTAAATCATCGAAAACTATCACCATAACCCATGATTATCCCATGATTCTCCCATTGGAGGCTCCAAACTCTGGTGCTGTCAAGGCTGGAGCAGGGAACTGTTGCGCAGGGAGTTGGGTCAATGATATAACCAAGCAATGCCATGGAACATAGCTGGAAGGCTAGGAGGTTTATATGATATGATCATTGGTCGATGTGTTTCGCAAAATTACTTTTTTTCCATCCTATAGTGTGCAGGTTGAATGAATAGATTTGCTTTCGTTGATTGTGGAAGCAAGGCTAGCCTCAGCGAATGAGAGTTCTGGTGAAATGGTTGGGGAGATCAGCCCCACCTGAGGTTAGTGCATGTTGTTGCGAACAACACCTGAGACGAAGTTGAGAATGTGTTGCTATATGATGTTATATGCAACCATTAGTTATTTACGACCATATACTACTAATACTAACATTATATTAATCAATCATGATGATACAACTATTATCAAAGGACGTTTAGTTAGAAAACTTCCGAGTTACGGACGATTGTCATGGCCAGCATTCTCACCATCATAGCCACCAGATCATCATGTCAACAACATCATCACCAAATAGTTGGGAAGTGTAACAGTTCGGGAACGTGTGAATTCAGGCTTGAAAAGACTCTCGGGCGCGAAAACCTGCGTTTTTGTCCGGTAAAGTGGCTTCCGTGGTCGCCGAAGTAGGGTCTTTGTTCCCGCGCCGACGGAGTGACGCAACGTCCCTCCACTCACGCGGTTGCTTCGTCACTCTGCGATGCAGCGCTGCACTGCTGTGCGCTCAACTTTCTGGCTCTCCATTTCGCAGGAGCCAGTTCTTGCGGCTGCAAGCCATTCTTCTGTTCCGTTTTCTATCATATAGTTCCCGCAAATGCGAGCTCACGCGTTCCCAACTGTTACACTTCCCAACTTCTTGATGATGATGATGTGGTTGACATGGTGATGTGGTTGACAGGAAAACATTTTCTGTGACATCCAGCTCTACAGTCTCGTGCGCATTTACCGTGCGAACCTAATCCAAAGCTGATTACGATTTTTATGTGAAATCGAGCTCTCGCTACATTCTCGTGCACATTTTGCCGACCCCATCTCCCAAAAGAGCTCCGAGACTGGTAGTTTTTCACGATTTTTATTATGTAAAACCGAGCTCTCGCCACAGTCCTGCATGTCCATTTTTTGTCGACAACTTTTGCAGATCGAGGCCCGCACCCGCGCGTGAAGCAATTGATTGAAGCATTGCGCAAGTCGAAGCATTTCTGGCTCGCGCTGTGGAGACGTGTCAACGAAGGCGACAGAATGCGCATCCCCGATGAGACGTCCATTCATTCAATCACTCACTCACTCATTCATTCATTCATTCATGTCATTCATTCACTCACTCATTCATTCATTATCTCATTCACTCAATCACTCATTCCTTCCTTCCCTCCTTCACTGCTTCATTCCTTTATTCCTTCATTCCTTCAATCATTCATTCTTTCATTCCTTTATTCCTTCATTCTTTTATTCCTTCATTCCTTCGTCCCTTCATTCCTTCATCCCTTCATTCCTTCATTCCTTCACTCCTTCATTCCTTCATTCCTTCATCCCTTCATTCTTTCATTCCTTCATTCCTTTATTCCTTCTTTCCTTCATTCCTTCATTCCTGCATTCATTTATTCCTTCTTTCCGTCATTCCTTCCTTCCTTTATTCCTTCATCCCTTCATTCATTCATTCATTCATTCAGTCAGTCAGTCATTCAGTCAGTCATTCATTTCATTCATTATTTCCTTCGTTTGATCCTTCGTTCGTCTGTTCTTTGGTTCTTTCATTCTGTCCTTCTGTTGTTCATTCATTTGTTCATTCGTTAATTCATTCATTCGGTCGTTCGGTCATTCATTCACTCTTTCACTCATTCACTCATTCACTCACCTTCATTCCTTCATGCTTTCATTCATTCATTCATTTATTCCTTCCTTCCTTCTTTCTTTCTTTCTTTCTTTCATTCTTTCATTCATTCATTCATTCTTTCATTCATTCATTCATTCACTCATTCATTTATCAATTCAATTCAGTTCAATTCAAATCAATTCAATTCAATTCATTTCATTCATTTCATTCATTTCATTCATTCCATTCATTCCATTCATTCCATTCATTTCATTCATTTCATCCATTTCATTCATTACATTCATTTCATTCATTTCATTCATTACAATTATTTCATTCATTTCATTCATTTCATTCATTTCATTTCATGTCATTTCGTTTCATTTCATTTCATTTCATTCATTCATCCCTTCATTCTTTCATTCCTTCATTCCTTCATTCCTTCATTCCTTCATTTTTCACCCATTTACTCATTTGCTCATACCTCATTTGTTCATTTGTTTCATTCATTTCATTCATTCATTCATTCATTCAATCATTCATTCATTCATTTATCCGTTCATTCATTCCTTCATTCGTTCATGTTTTTTTCATTTTTTGATTTCATTCCATTTGTTCGTTGGTTCACTCATTCATTGTCTTTTTGTTTCATGTAATTTCATGTCAATTTTCCATTCATTCATTCATTCATTCAATCAATCATTCATTCAGTCATTCATTCATTCATTCAATCAATCATTCATTTCATTCATTCCATTCCATCCATCCATCCATCCATTCGTTCATTCATTCATTCATTCATTCATTTTTTCTTTCATTCATTCAATCATTCCTTCCGTCATTCATTCATTCACTCGTTGGTTCATTCAATAAGTCATTCATTCATTTATTGATGGATAGTTTTTTCATTTCATTCATTTCGATATCATTTCGATCATTTATTTTTTCCTTTTAATATTTCTTTTCACTCGTTCAATCAGTCATTCAGTCATTCACTCACTCATTCACTCACTCACTCATTCATTCATTCATTCACTCATTCATCCTTTCATTCATTCATTCATTCACTCATTCTTTCGTTCAGTTCCTCCATTCATTTTCATTTCGTTTTCATTTTCATTTCGTTTCATTCCGTTCCACTTCATTTTTTTCATCAATTTATTCATGTTTTTTTCATTCAGTTTGTCGTCCAGTCATCCAGTCATTCACTTCATTCATTGCATTCATTTTCTTCAATTCATTCGGTTCAACTCACGTCTTTCCAGCTCACCAACAGTTCCTATAAGCAAACTGGTTCCTATAGCCGCGTTCTATTTTTGAAACTTCCGCCCCGGCGCGTCCCGGGCACTACCTGGTATATATATGTATTTATATATATATATACGAACGATGATTTAGAATACCCTGCGGTAAACGTTTACATAGATGTAGAAAAAACGATAGTGTCCGTAGAAAAATAATTTGCACATGATTGTTTTTTGACATCTATGTTGGTTTTTCATTTCCTACCTTTGAGTAATGGGCTTAAAGGAAGCCAACATCTGGTGTTGGTCCTGGGCTTGCAGGCGGAATCTCTAACTTGGCTATCAAGAGATCACAAGGCCATCGACGGTTGTTACGAGGGAGCTGCATTTGCCTCGATGAACTTGGATTTAATGGGAATATAATGGGCATATCATGGGATTAGTTATCAACTGTTAAATATTGCCTTTTAACACACAGCAATAGGACCTGAACCATCCATAAATGGATATAATGAGGATATAATGGAGATTTTATTAGGCATAAATCCCATCCTCACAAAATAAAAAACACCCTGCAGAAACCATGGTTTAGTAGGCGATGAGATCAAATATTTGGAACCAAAAAATGGAGGTGGTTTAAATTACGGGGATGGGATTGCAGTGGGGATATAGGGCATATGATATGATTTGATACATAGTGGAGATATAGGTGGGACAAGGTTTGCTGTCATCATGTGGGGCTGAGTGAGGGGTGAACATTACGAGGTTCACTGATTGGGACTCATCTCCAACTTTGAGTCTTTCTTTATGAACCAGTATTGTCATCTTTAGTTTTTTTGGATTGCATCCTCCATGTCATTGCATTTGCTGAAAAGTTCTCTGGGCTCGCTTTTGTGTCTCTGCAAAGGTTCAATCATGACCTTTGCCCAGGTTTCTTTGAGAAGCCTGTATGTGTTTTGCATGATGTGGATTTACAATTGCAACCATGCATGTCAGTTATCGCCTTGATCATTGTATTGTTGTTTGACGGGTTCGAAACAATATGACAAGCGCCTCCCATCAGACCTGGACTTTAGGAAACTGCAGTGAGTAAATCCCAACAATCACACGAGGTACCCCAAGAAAATATCCGGGCAAGAGACCCCAAACAGTGTGGGGGAATGGGGCGATAATATATGATAATGCTGTTGGCGATGATGATGATGATGATGATGGTGATGATCATTGTTTTGATGAGGATGATAATGTAGCGGACGATGATGTTGAAGATGATGATGTTGAGGAGGATGGGGATGAGTGCGGAAGATGATGAAGTAGTGGAGGATGATAAGGTGGAGGTTGATGATGTTGAGGATGATGATGCCAAGGGGGAGGAAGATGATGATGTTGAGAATGATGACGTTGAGGAGGAGGAGGAAGATGATGATGTTGAGGAGGAGGAAGATGATGGATGTTGCGGATGATGATGTTGAGGAGGAGGACCGATGGCAGGACCAGGACCCACACTTTGCGCGAGTCTTCGCAATCGAAATGCACTTGGACATTTCCCAAGAGCAACTTTATGCGGAAATTTACCGTAAAAATGCCCGGGCCCAAGACCGGGGACCACAGTTTGTGCGAGCCTGCACAGTCGAAATATGTCGAAATGCACTTGGACATTTCACAATAGCCATTTTGCGCGGAAAATCAGAGGTAAAACGCCGCCAACAAGCACCGGGCTTTACACCTACCGTAAGATCCCCTCAGTGTGGACACACTGTTTGGAGAATGAACTTCAACTTCAACGACATTGCTGGGGGTTGAAAACTTGTCGTGAGCACATCACATCATTTATCGGCTCTTCCGGGTCCCCACAAAATGTTTCGCGTCTGAAACAGTCGCTTCATGCTGAAGGCCAGTTGTCCTATCGAGCAAAAAAGGATAGAGGCAGTTGGTGGAAGTGTCTGGGAGCCTAGGCCCTCCGCGGTGTCAGTCCATGCGCGGGTGTCGGTTGGTGGTGCCTAATAGCTAAGTTGATTGATGTTTTCTTTGGCTAAAGGGGTACAATTAATCCTACAAATTACTACAAACATAATTAATTTGGGGGCACCACATTGTTGCAGCCACCGCGTGGTGTTGAAATATGTTGACATGGTCCAGCTCTATCTAAAGCCTTTGCGAGAATTGATCCGGAAGTCCTCTTGATGCCTTTGACCCATGTCCAATAGTTGGATTACCCTCCGATAATCAGCTCCAAAGCCGGCTGGAAAACATCCCAGAAGCAGCAATACTTCGATGATTTCCCAGATCCCAATTATATATCCCCATTCATATTCCGTTCATATGCTATCATGGTTTAATGTGGCAAAGCCAACGCTACATATATAAACATACGATTTAGGATGGTCTATATACCACGCATGTAAGGTCATTTAGGGCATTGTTTGTTGTTTTTCCATGGCGCAATGCGCCGTGATGCCCTGAAATGATCCGAATCGCAGCATTTTGAGCGCTGAAATCTTTGGGTTGTTTTGTCAGAGATTTCCAAGGTATCAAGGTGGTACATGACAATTTGGATCAGCAAACTCTTTCGTGCTTCCAATTTTTTTTTTTGCCCTGAAGAATGGCACATGATTCACATCCCAACTGATGGAATCGAAACGTTGGTCGATTGTTCACACAATTGGCGAAGAAACGAAACTCGCAAGCCAATCGACGTTCGTCGGTTGGCTTCATTGTTCATTCAAAGCGACGGTCGCTGCACCATGGACGCAGCGCCCCCGTTGATAGCCGCAGTTGTTCTGGTCGTCATCTTCGGACTTGGAGTTGTTCCCATGCTCGTGGCCAAGCGCGGATGACTTGTTATGCTCGTTCTGGTAAACACTCCACAATCCACACTCTAGAGTCCACACTCCACACTCTACACACTGTTACACTTTACATTCCATACTCCAGACTTTGCCCCCCACTCCCACTCACTTCAAACTCTACTCCGCACTCTTTACTTTAAACTCGACACACTGCACTCAACACTTCATACTCTACACTTTACACTCCACACTCTTGTCTCCACACTTTATAGTCTATACTCCACACTCTTCACTCTATATTTTTGTCACGCTCCACACCCTACACTCCTAACTGCGCACTCTGCATCGACGCTTTACACTCCACACTGCACATGCGCACTCTACACCCTACACCACTCTCTACACTCTACACTCTACAAATTACACTCCACTCTCGACACCCTGCACTTGACACTCCACACCTGGCCTGGCACTCCCCCACTTCCCACACTACAGTCTACAATGGTATGGTTCCAAAAATGTTACACTATTTCCCTTAAAAAAATGCTTTACGTGATGTGCATTTGGGTTCGTGGGTTGGAAATGGTTGGAACAGGTTTGGGGACAAGGATCCTTCAGGAAACATAAATTTCTTTGTGTAGGGCTCAGGAAGGTTTGTGGTGCGTAAAAACCTGTTCAGGCTTAAAACTGTTCATTCTCATCAACAGAATCAACATCACCATCATCACCAGAATTGCTGCAAGTACCATACGATTTATAGGGTTCGAACCCAATATTATGTGTATATATATATATTGAAATATAATAATTATATAATATATATACATAGGCTGCAATATCGGACAAAGTGAGAGGTTCCAGCTGAATACAATATGTATGTTTTAATATATATATATATATACAGTATATGTTTTTTTGATGCTGTGGATATTTGTGTTTTGATCCTGATTCAATTTGTTTGATGCCGCAAATGCTTCTTATTTGCCCTCATGGATGGGTTATAATTTCTAGTTGCAGTGCAATTGGCACAGCAATCATCACTGTACAGCTTTGGGCAGCTCAGTCGGAGATCCGCTCAAAAAAAGTCGACAGGACATTGTCAAATCAGCGGTTCCCGATGAACATTTTGTAGGAAAATGATCGGGAAACATGGAAAAAAAACCATTCCATCTCATGGTTGGGAACCATTTTCCCCATTTTTGTCGTGAAAAAATGTTGCATTCATGTTCATTATTTTCTATCCAGGTGCGAAATCTTCAAAATTTACGGTGACATCCTCGTTTCGGCTGGGGTTATATTGCAACTATATGTATATATATATATATATCTTCCCATCATATCCCAGTGAACGGAAGGGTACAGAGTGCATGGTTGATATTTCAATTTTTCGGCCTATCAGGTTTGCCACAGCCATCCAGGTGTGTTCTCCTCCGCTCAAGGCACCAAAAAATCTGTGTATCATGATGACGAAGTAATATATATATACAATATATATATATATATATTGTATATATAATGCATCCAATAATCGTGGATTTTGATGAGTTGTGTATTAAACATATTTTACCACCACACTTCGCACCACTGATGTGTCACCTTACATGCACCTATTACATTTGTACTATTTGTGAGTATGTATCTTCCTGTAGGTTTCAGAATTTTGGTGGTTTCAAAGCATAGGTACTCGTATTTTCCCACCAATGTACACATATACGATGACATGTATCTATATATACGTATATATATATATATATACCTATGCTATCATATAAACTTTTACACTTTTGTACTTATTTTCATGTATTATATATATATATATATCTATATTTATATTTATACAGACATATATATATATATATGTTTATATTTGCATATATCATATAATTTATGATTCCATTTGACAATTTGTTTCTTTGGGGAGTTAATAGTTGTTGGTTTCAAGCTAGCGTCCCTTAGGTCATAGATGGCCGAGTCGAAGGTCTGGAGCCTTCAAGGCCGATGCAGAAAGATGTGGAAAACCCATGGGAAAACCCCCATGGAAAATGATCAAACAATGGTGGTTTTTCCACATCGAACTGTTAGTTTACCCTGGGCTATGAAAACGTGTTTTTTCCATCCAAGTATCAAACATCCCTCAGAAACCATGGTGTTGTAGGGGATTAAACACATAGATGGGACCATTCAGTAGGTTTTTTTTAATGTTAAGGGGGTTGGATTTGAAACCAAAACTACCAAAAGTTATTTTCTTTTGGTTTTAAAATCAACCATGGGGATTTGGTTTAACGATCAACAAAAAGAGACTGAAGGTTTGTCTAGACATGGGGGATAATTGCACGTATGGGCCATGTTTTAGGAGGGAAACTTGTGATACCCTCTGGTAAACTAATATAACTACGGAAAATCACCATGTTTAATTGGAAAACTCACTATAAATGGCCATTTTCCATAGCTATGTTAGTTTATCAGAGGGTAAACCATGTTTTTTTGGGGTAGCCACTTCTCAGACAAACCAGAAATGGAAGCATTGGCCCATTGTGTATGGTCCAGCAGGAAATTGATGGATCATGGAGGCACTATGTTTTGCACATGAAAGATAGGAAGTTGGGAATGCATCCCACTTTGTAAGTGGTGAATAAACCCATTGATGTGTATCATTGGATTGTTTTAGGGGTAAATCTACGGGAAACAACGTTTTCCCCCATCAAATATAGGGGTTTCCTGAACAAATTCTCTTAGACCAATGTAATGAATTATCTAACTGGGGATATTGAACATATATTACATACAGTATATATATATACATATATATATATATATTACATATTATATACCTGGTTTATTTCATATGGTTGTTTCCTAGTTTCTAGCTGGGCTTCGTCCAAGTATTCTTCCGCTGGAGGAAACATGACCACAGGATACCACAGGCCTGCAAGTAGATCATCGTTTCAGTTTTGCCTCATGGTGAGTTGTTTTTCCCCCACGTTGCTAGTTGCAAGAAAATTTGTAGGGGGAAAGCATCCGGCTATGTGAATTGGTCATAACATGTCATAACCTACGATACCGGATGACAGGGGAGATGAACATCAACGACATGTTTTTTGGTGTGAAAACCACAGTACCGGACTTTGAATCACGACCATGTCAGACGAATATGGGGTTACACGATGTTATACTATGTTATACTGAAAAAAACAATGCAGGTAATACAGGTAACGAATTACCATAGAATATACATAATTATACATATCCAGGACCTGTCAAACAGTGGGATTCCCCTTTCTACTCGAAATGGCGGATGGCATTTTTGGGGTCCCCATATGTGGGGGTTTCCCTCCATGTTGGTGCTGTTTTGAGTCCCCAGGTTTCTGTTTGGTGGTTTCATCAAAAGGCAATGTCCATCAATGATTCCATGTCTACGTTGAATTACCAGAGGATACTCCTTTGTTGTCGTAGACTTGCTAACTTAATGTAACTTATATCCCCATCCCAGGATTGTCCCCATCAAATCAGAATCCCACTATTCAACGTGGAATTCCCCGGGGATACCCTCTGGTAAACATACAAAAAACTATGGAAAATCACCATGCTATTAATGGGTAAACCATCTATTTCGACTGGGACCATTTTCATCCATCTATACCATGGCAAACTGTTAATTAGTCATAACCAGAGGCTATCCCCCCATCGCAGGACCTTGGGGGATTTCGATGTGAAGATGACCGTGAAGCCAGGCGTCATCTCCATCGTCCCTGAGGCGCGGCGAAAACGCGGGTCTCGCGGCGAGAGAGTCCGAAACGATTCAGCCCCCGATGTACAATGCAATGTATGACTTAATGATACTTAATATGTACAGATATGTATATATATAGATATACATTATGGTATAATATGTATATATATATAGATATTATGATATATATATATACACATATATTAATATATATATATACACATATATTATGATATATATATATATGATATGTACATATACATATATATATATATAATATGTACATATATGTATATATATATATATGTATGTATATATATGTACATATGTATATGTATGTATGGTGACCGCCCTCACGAGGGCCTATCTTTTGATATCTCCATGAGGCCTAACAAAAAACTCATTGGGTACCATGGTAGATATCCCGGTGGATTTTCCAGTAAGCCACGTGTGATTTCCTCATCAGATGTCACTGGAATGATGCTTAGGAGGGGAATCATCTCCGGCATTTCACAGTTTAATAAATACATTTCAGCTATTTTGAGATTAGTGATTATAATTCAGCCAGATATACATATTTATGATTATATATGACTATAATAATGATAATATTATGATATATACATCATACATCCACACACAAATGCGTTATCTCGGTGTTCCAGGTCCGCAGCATAGACCTTGGTGCAGGCCAGATCGGTGCAGTGGCCATGGTGGGGTTTTCGAAAAATCGAGTGGGCTACCGGGTTACCCCTAAGGTATGGCCATGTGAGATGGAATGGGATCAAAACTAGGAATTGAACCTTGAGAATTACCCTCTGGTGAACGTTTACATAGCTATTGAAAATGGCCCATTTATAGTTGATTTACATTTACCCATTAATAGCATGGTGATTTTCCATAATGTGAAATTACCAGAGGGTATTGGCTAAAATGGAGGATTTTGTTGCAATTTAGATCAATTTAGGCAATGGTGGTTGGACAGTCAGTGAGGTTTTAGACCGATGGTGGATTTGGAACCCGCAGGGGTAGCCTGAAAGATTGGGAATGAACCTTTAAAAATGAGGGGGGGATAATACCAACCATCTTATTGAAAACCCGTATTTTTCATGGCCAAGACACGGTTGGGCGGTGCGGGTCTTATGGGTCAAAACTCTTGGACCCAAACTTATGGGTCTTATATGGCTTACTGCGATATGATGGGAAATAGAACCAACAACACAATATGGCTCTGGCCTTCAAAATGTATTGGATTTGCCATGAATCGGGATAGCCATCCGGCATGGGATCGGGAAGTTTTATATTTCATTCCTCCAAATTGGAGGCATCCGGAGGCATCCGGCATACATTTTCAGACAAGCCATGTTTTAAGCAATACCTGTTCATCTGAAGTCTTCATCTATGTGTTTGTTGAAGCATTTGCCCTGTGAAAATTGGATCGTAGTGACCAACTGACGGTGCAAAAATTGGCAAACAAATAGTGGGTTGGCAACATGGTCGTACATGTTTCCACTTGTTGAGATGATGCCATAATATCCCACCAAAAGAATCCACAAAATGCTTGGTATATCCTTTAGTGATCTTTGTTGCAATAACTTTCACCAACACCCGTGTTTCAAAAGATCAGAGTTTCCATGTCTTTCCCCATTGTTCAAAATGTATTTTCCATGGGAAAAATGGGGGACGACACCATGTCTTGCCCCATTGTTCAAGGGTTTTCCCCCCATTTTTCCCATGTTTCAACCCCCATCTGACCGCCATCGGCATGGCCAGGTTCGACGGCCACCGGCCGCCGAGCGGTCCTGATGTGCGCCACCGACGGCGTGTGGGACGTCATGAGCGGCCAGGCCGGGGGGCCGGGGGGCCGTGCTGAGGCCTCGACAAATTTGGCGTTTGTTGGTTGGAAAAATGAGGGATTTGATCGATGGGGATTTACACCAAATATATAAATATTGCAGTTTTTAGATAGAGTATGATGATCAACTGTGGGATTTAGATACATTTTTTTTTCGAAAACCATGCGTTTTGTAGTAGGTCTGAGTCATAGTCACATGCCAAGATATCGCAAATCATAGATGTCCCAAATTCCCATTGGTTGGTTGATGAATAGAGAGGTTTCTTCAGAAAGCCCTTTAACAACAGGTTTCTATGATGATAGATGGGATTAACCGTTAGATTAACCAGCTTCCCGGCCCCTCTATTTTTCGCAAAGGTGGGGATGGGATGGTTCACCAGATTTGAGCTGAGCGAAAAAAGCCATAGCTCTGTTGATGGCTTGGGGGGATCTACTATGTGGTTCACATAGATTATGAACTAACATAACTAACCCACAATAGACATATTTACTAACCAACCAGTAGAATAGGGTTATTTTTCATGGCTCACTTGCGTTGAAAAACTGGTGATTCAACTATCGAAAAATTGGGATTTAACAATTAAAAAAGAGGATTTAACCAAATGAAAAAAGGATAATATGACATCTTAAGGGATTTATTCATCAGGGGGCATTTAAGTTTCCAATAGTGTGATTTTAAGTTTCAAAAATCGGTATTGTGGTGCAACGAGGGGATTTACACCAAATATATATAAATATTGCAGTTTTTAGATAGAGTATGATGATCAACTGTGGGATTTAGATACATTTTTTTTTTTCGAAAGCATGTGTTTTGTAGTAGGTCTGAGTCATAGTCACATGCCAAGATATCGCCAATATGCTTATCATTCAAATGCTGAAGTATGTGGGTCATTTCGAGCGACCTGACCACGACACCACTACAAATGATGGCAAAGAACTAGCCCGAAAATCACCTTATGTTAGCTTGATTAAGCATTAGTTTGATTTGACACTAAAATTCCTGGTTGGTGGTTTGGAACGTGGCTTTTATTTTTTCCATATATTTGGAATGTCATAATCCCAACTGACTGAAATTCAGTCACATCTCAAATGACATGCGCAAAAGAAACTCGCGGCACGAGCAAGTTGTTGGGTCCATCAAATTGGTACCCAATGTTTGAGCCATGGCCAAATTTGATAGCCATTTCAGGTACCTAAATTGGAGCTGCCTACCATTTATAAGGCCTTTTTTTCAGGCCTATGTAAGGGGATATGCCCCCACACACTGGCTTTCTATAGTACCATACAGTAGCTCCATTTTGGGGTCCTGAAATCGGCATGAAGTGTCAATGTTAAACCAAGGTTAAATCATGTTATAAATCCATATTGTTGATTGCTAGCTTCTTTAGACTGATCTATGGGCAATCAAAGCATCCTCACAACTAGTAAAAGTATGAAGCTTCATTGCTGAGAGCTCAGCCAGAAATTCCTATGAATCATATATATAGCCATTATATAGCCATTATATAGCCATTATATAGCCATTATCACTCCCCAAATTAATGTTCCTGGTGGACTATGTTTTTTGTTATCAGGATGGGGTCCAGTATTGCCAGTATTGAGACCATGAAAAATGGTCCGGGCTCGTCAATGGCCAGGATTTTACGTCTTCTAGCCTCTGGTAATTTAACATAGCTATTGAAAATGACCATTTATAGTGGATTTTCCCATTGAAAATTGTGATTTTCCATAGTTATGTTAGTTTACCAGAGGGTATCGTTTCGCAAACTTTCAAAAAGCTTTGCGCTGTAGTTCATGTTCTCCCCATGGCCTTTGCATTAAGACTGCGACAACAACGCACCGCTGTGCCAGGACTTATGCAAAATCACGCAAGCCAGAAAGGACCGGCTGATCTCTGAGCAGAGATGATGGCTGGGCCGGCTTTATTTGTTGCTCGCGCATCAGCGGGTCTATATGGGGGTTTCCAAAAATGGAGGATCCCCAATATGGTTGCTTTCCAATGGAAAATCCTATTAAAATGGATGATTTAGGGGTATCTCCATTTCAGGAAACCTTCATATCTACATATCAAAAGCAAAAATATATAAATACATTAGAAACCACAGGTAGTCAGCAATTTTTGGACCATTGGTTGCTGCGAGGAGCTTGCTTCGTTCTTCCTGCCGGAAGCTGTTCTCGAGGTGAAGATGCCATATAGTGGACACGTGGTGGACCTACTATAGTCACTTTTTTGGGGATGCCCTGGAGAATTTGAGTACTGCATAAGCACCAAGTACAACCATTTCTGGAGGTTTCATCATGATCATCATGTCACATCCCCTCCAGAATTGCTTGGTCAAATTTTTATCGAGCCATGGAGGTTGGTTGGGTAACAGTGCGTAACAGGGCTATAGTCCATTAATTCACTCTGGTAAAAGTTATGGCCATGTGAGATGGAATGGGATCAAAACTAGGAATTTAACCTTGAGAATTACCCTCTGGTAAACTAACAGTTTGCTATTGAAAATGGCCATAGAATACTGGATTTACCCATTAATAGCATGGTGATTTTCGATTTAGTTACGTTAGTTTACCAGAGGGTACTCAAGTATACGCCAGTTCCTGACCACTCAACTCATTCCCCGGAATTACTACACTTAGAAACATGTCGCAAGTTTAATTGTCCCCACTTCCCATGTGGATTGCCACATCCCAATTTGCTGAGTTCTAACCACTATTTACATGGACATTTCCAGCATTTCCAGGATTTACCCAGGGTTCACCCATGGTTTACCCATGGTTTACCCCCATAGCTTGGATGCTCCAGTTTTTCCATGGCTTTCCCGTAGCTTCGAGGCCCCAAAGGCCGGAGTTCAGGCTCTACACGAGCTGGCGGAGGACTCCGAGATGCGGCTGTGGGGCTGTGAAGCATTGTAATATATATGGTGATTTTTGGGGAAAATTATATATGTATACATATATATATATATATATGTATATATATATGTGTGTGTGGCTATTTCAGGAACCTAAATTGGAGGTACCTACCATAAAAAAAAGGCCTGTGTAAGGGAATGTCCCCACAAAATATGGCCTTATATGATACAGTACCTACATTTTAGGGTCCTGAAATTCCCAATATTTTTTAATGTATTAGAATGTGTAATGGAAAATATGATTGTTATGTTTGATTACCGTGAGGGTACCTAGGAAAAAATGGGATAAGTAGGGATACACTGGGATAAATGGGAACAAATTTGAGAATAAATTTGAGCATAGCATTGGTAATATTGATGGTGATTTTCATCCCTGCCTCCAATATTATACCAATGTTGACTAAGATGCTCCAATCAATTCTGATTTCACCACGGGGTTGAGACTGGAGTTCATATATTTATAAAAAGTGCCGCCAATCACATGCCATACAACCAATTTCGAGACTAAAACTAAAGAGCAATCTAATACATTCGACCGTGCTTTCGTTTTCTGGGTGTTTAAACTAGAGGGATTGATGAGCCATCATATTTATATACGTATATATATATATATATATGTGAGGTTTAATCGTTAAAAAGGGTGATAGCATTAAGAAATGTGGATGATTGATCTTTTATTCTGAGTTTCTAACCTGCCTACTTAGCGTACTGGAGACTATGAGCTGACTGCGCAGGGAAGACGCCTATGCTTCTGAAAGCTGCTCAATTGAATTTCCCTTACCCTTTCGTACTCCAACATGGCAATGAAAATTCCATCCTTTTTACATGATTTGTCCCATTAAAGAAATATGGAGGATGTTCAATTGCCATGTTTGATTGCCAGAGGTTATATAGTTATATGTATATATATGTTTTAAATGCTCATATAATATATATATATACAAGCGGATGTTTCCCATCCAGAAGTTTTTGGTTGAACACTGCAAATTCATCCGATGAGATTCAAATCAGTTCTAGTTTTGAGAAAGCGTTTGCCAACCAAATTGACAAGCAGAGTATTTTCCCTTATTAATTATCATGTGCTTAAATCTTCGATATCGCAGCCTTTTTCGTATTTCACCAATCATTTGGTATTTAATGTCAGCCAGGGATTAATAAACAACACCAGGACAAAAGTTGTTCCTCAGGTGCTGCAACCCTCTCCCCTTAGACTCCTGATATGTTTCATATGAATCACATGGCGGACCGTAAATCAGCTGATTTGCTATTCCGACTTGAAATACGACCTGCTACACAGGCGCGAACTGAGGATAATTGATCTGCTGCGGATGATATTCAGAGGCTAAACGGGATAAAACTTGCTTCCTCCTGATGTAATCAGACGGTACCCCCAAAATGATTAGTGAAAATCTGCTACTAAATAGTGTTCCCACCCAATTTAAGAGACTAGGAGTTTAAAAATAACTGCCACAAGTTGGAAATTTGCGCTTTTACATGTGTTTACCTTCTTGTTTACCAAATTTTCCCTCTAACTGGGGCTGTTCGGAGCAACCTTACAACTGGGCTGTAAATCCCATGAAATCATTACATTTGGTGGTTTAATTCTCGTATTAAATCTTCATATATACATATTATATGCTGTATATTGCTGTATATATATATATATGTATTAATGTATATATATATGTATATAATATGTATATATATATATACATTAATATATATATATTATATACACACATATATATAAATAGACATTGTTATTAACCAGTGTTAGTTTATAAATATAATCCTATTGAAATTAATTTCAATAACCCAAAGATCATTCGATTTACCAAGACTTTCTGCATTCCATGCTTCACAAGGACGTTGTCCAGTTCGCGCTGGCAAAGGGCAGTCGAGATGAACGGGACCTCAGTTCGGGCTGTCAACACATGTTGATACATTGATATGGTATTGTAATATGGCTGCATTCTATGTTTTATTATATGTGTACATATATATATTGATGTACATATATTGTATATACATATGTGTTGTATATATATATAATATGTACAAACTTATATGTAAGTACATACATTACATGACATTACATTACATTACAATACATTACATTACATTACATACATACATTACATGTTTATATGACATGACATGACATGACATGACATGACATGACATACATATATATATATACACGTCAATTTCATATGTATCGCATATGTATCTATGTTTGCTTTTTCTATGATATCTTTATCTGTTTGTCTGCCTGCATGCCTGTGTGTGTGTGGTTCCCTTTGCTGTTTGCATTTTCATGCAAGCCCATAAAGTTGCCCGCAACTAAAGGCATACATTAAGATGGATTTTAATGACCTCTCTGTGACGTCACTGGAATGATGCTTATGTATGTTTATTATATTGGGGAAACATCCCCAAATGACCGGAACTTTCAGTTATTTTCAGTAATTAATTCAATTGCTACAACTCATCCAGATCCCATACACAATTGGATACATTTGATCACCACTGGATTCTGAACAGACTTCCTCATCTAAGTGCTGCACGTATCCACTGGAATTCAGGCTGTCAAACTCACCAAGTCGAATGCTAACTCAAGATGGCTTGAAGGCAATGCAGACTCACATCATGCTGCCCGTGTTAAGATTGGGAGATGGTGTCTGTTTCTGTTTTGGTGTTGCAAAAAGCTTGAAGTTGGCATGAGGCTAGTGCTTTGCATACTTTTTGCACATCATGCATGCGGATATTGAAAAATGATGAAAAATGCGAAAACTAGGTTTTCATGAATCTGGGCAAATTAGACGGACGTCAAGCCACCTTACCATATGATGGTTAGTGAAACCAACATGGGTTTGTTTCCGATTCCTGAATTACCTCAGGTTTGTCCAAATACATGTGATTCGTGGTTTTAATTATGTTTTATGTTCAACCATATGAATGGTATGTAATGGGATGATGATCCCCAATGACGATCATATGAAAAAACATGAAAAAACATGGATGAATAATAGGATTCACCCTCAATGACTCAGAGTTTGCATACTGGAACAGGACAATTTCCTTCTGATAGGTAAAGCATCTATAAACGCACCATGTTCCTTCTAGATATGTCAAAAATATTGCCAGAGGGTTTTATTTTATAAACATCGTGGGTTACAAAGAACGTCTGGGGACTTACCCAACCAAATGAAGGAAAATCACCATAATCACCATCAATCCCAGTTCACCTAGTATGGTTGGTGGTTGAGCCACCAGCCTATTGCCAACTCCTCAGTCTATCCTTCGAAATCACCATACTTGCTGGTTCATCCCATGGCTCGTGGTTGTGGGTTATAACCCCAGTGATTTACATGGGATTTTTGGAGCGGCTTAATCCACATCAATCACTGAAGTGGATTAACCCACAACCACGAGCCGTGGGTAGTTCACCACCAAGTGGTCAACCATGGTCAACCCGTGATGTGTTTCCCACACATTGAAACATTCGATGAGATCTCAGGATTGCACCTGTCTCGTTGCCATGATCTCGGTGCGCTCGCCATGATGTCCAGGGTTTTAAACTTCCCCCAGTGATGTCAACTTTTTCCCGAATGCGTAGCAAGGGTTCCCGTTTCACTCTGGGGGTCTGGGGGCTGAGGGTGTGTTCGCTCGACGTTGCGTTTGTGGTCGCAACCGTTCGCAACCGTTCGCAACCGTCCGCAACCGTCCGTACGAACTCCGTATGGCCGTGCCTATGGGAAGTTTTGCAGAGGTGGTCCTTTTTGGAGGTTTCAGATGTCTGGTTGCTTCGTTTCGCGTGGCAGGCGTGGCACTTCGAGGCATTCAGACGTGTTCTGCAACGTGTCGAAAGTCGTTTCGCGTGGCAGGCGCAATACTTTTGCGACGTTTTCAGAAGATATGTTGCAGTTTTCGTGCCAGGCGCAGCACTTTGGACGTGTCCATCGTCATTTTTCGTGGCAGGCACAGCACTTTAGACGTGTCCTGTTGCGTTTTTTTTGTAAATCGCATTGGCAGGGCTGCGTCAAGTGGTGACAAGGTGCAAATTCCGTGGCAGGCGTGGCATTTTCTGACATGTGCTGAAAATTGACGGAAGCCTCGCACGAAACATCGATTTTGAGGTTGCAAATTTTCAGGTTCTAAGGAAAACTCGTAGGAAAACGTCGATTTTGAAGCTGCAAAGTGTGAAAATCGGAGGAAGTCTCGCACGAAATGCTCGTTTTGGCGCTCCCACCTGTCTCTTCTCGCGTGTCTGGTTTTCCCGTGGCCTCGCCGTGTCTATGGGGGAAGCTGCAAAACTTCTCCTTTTGTCATGTTGCCAACTGTGAAAATTGGAGGACGTCTCGTACGAAATGCTGGTTTTTCTGCATCCACGTGTCTTGTCTCGAGTCGCTGGTTTTCCTGTGGCGTCGCCGTGTCTATGGAGGAAGCTGGAAAACCTGTCCTTTTCGAATGTTTCCAGGCAGGCTGTGTTGTTGTTTTGCGTGGCAGACGTGGCACTTTCTGACATTCCAACCTGTCTGATAACGTGTCGAAAATGTCAAAATTGGAGGAAGTCTCGCACGAAATGCTCGTTTTTCTGCATCCACGTGTCTTGTCTCGAGTCGCTGGTTTTCCTGTGGCGTCGCCGTGTCTATGGGGGAAGCTGGAAAACATCTCCTATTCGAATGTGTCCACGCAGGTTGTCAGATCGTTTTGCATGGCAGGCGTGGCACTTTGTGACATTCCAACCTGTTTGATTCGAAAATGTCAAAATTGGATGAAGTCTCGCATGAAATGTTCGTTTTTTTGCACCCACGTGTCTCGTCTCGAGTCTCCGGTTTTCCTGTGGCGTCGCCGAGTCTAGGGGGGAAGCTCCGCACTCCACACTCTACACTTTACACTCCACACTCCACAATTTACACTTTAGACTCCACACTCTACACTTTACACTCCACACTTCACACTTTGCACTTTACACTCCTCACTCCTCACCTGAGACTTTACATTCCACACTCCACACTTTACACTACACTTTGCACTTTCCACTCCTCACTCCTCACTCTACACTTTACACTCCACACTCTACACTTTACACTCCACACTCCACACTTTACACTACACACTCCTTACTTTACACTCCAAACTTTCCACTCCACACTCCACACTCCACACTTTACACTCCACACTCCACACTTTACACTCCACACTCCACACTTTACACTCCACACTCCACACTTTACACTCCTCACTCCACACTTTACACTCCACACTCCTTACTTTACACTCCACACTTCACACTCCACACTTTCCACTCCACACTCCACACTTTACACTCCACACTCCACACTTTACACTCCTCACTCTACACTTTACACTCCAAACTTTACACTTTACACTCCTCACTCCACACTCTACACTCCACACTCCCCATTTTACACGCCACACTCCACACTCTACACTTTCCACTCCACAATCCGCACTCCACACTCCACACTTTACTGTACACTCCACACTTTATACTTTAAACTTTACACTCCACACTTTACACTCCTCTCTTTACACTCCACACTCCACACTCTACACTTTCCACTCCAGACTCCACACTCTACACTTTACGCTCCAGACTCCACACTTTACACTCCACACTCACACTTTACACTCCACACTCCACACTTTACACTCCTCACTCCACACTTTACACTCCACACTCCTTACTTTACACTCCACACTTCACACTCCACACTTTCCACTCCACACTCCACACTTTACACTCCACACTCCACACTTTACACTCCTCACTCCACACTCTACACTCCACACTTTACACTCCACACTCCACACTCTACACTTTACACTCCACACTTTACACTCCACACTCCACACTTCACACTCTACAATTTACAATCTCCACATTCCACACTTTACGCTCCTCACTTTACACTCCACACTCCTCACTCCACACTTTACACTCCACACTTTACACTCCACACTCCACACTTTGCACTTTACATTCCTCACTCCACACTCCACACTCTACACTCTACACTTTCCACTCCACACTCCACACTCCACACTCTACACTTTAAACTCCAGACTCCAAACTTTACACTTTACACTCCTCACTCCACACTCTACACTCCACACTCCCCACTTTACACGCCACACTCCACACTCTACACTTTCCACTCCACAATCCGCACTCCACACTCCACACTTTACTGTACACTTCACACTCCACACTTTATACTTTACACTCCTCGCTCCACACTCCGCACTTTACACTCCTCACTCCACACTCCACACTTTACACTCCACACTCCTTACTTTACACTCCACACTTCACACTTTCCACTCCACACTCCACACTCCACACTTTACACTTTTCACTCCACACTTTACACTCCACACTTGACACTCCTTACTCCACACTCCACGCTTTACACTCCACACTTTACACTCCACACTTCAACTCCACACTTTCCACTCCTCACTTTTCACTCCACACTTTACACTCCACACTCGACACTTTACACTGCTCACTCCACACTTTACACTCCACACTTTACACTCCACACTCCTCACTCCACACTTTACACTCCACACTTTACACTCCACACTTCACACTCCACACTCCACACTCTACACTTTACACTCTACACTATACACTCTATACTCCACACTTTACACTTTACACTCCTACTTTACACTCCACACTCCACACTTTGCACTTTACACTCCTCACTCCACACTCTACACTCCACACTCTACACTCCACACTCTACACTTTACCCTCCATACTCCACACTCTACACTTTACACTCCGCATTCTACTCTTTACACACTCTACACTCCCCACTCCACACTTTACACTCCACACTCCTTACTTCACACTCCACACTCCACACGCTACACTTCCACTCCGCACTGCAGACTGGTAACAAGGGAAACATGCACAAGACTGTTCAAATAAACTATTGCAGAAAGGTTTTGTGCGTGACTGCATAACCATGTGTTTTGACATCTGTACCATTAACATACGTGTGAGCATTCGGGTTCGTGGGCTTCATCTTGTTTTTTATGCCCCATGAAGTAGTTCGATATATCATGGTATATCTACCAAAAGCCAAGTTATTGGAGTTATAAACAGTTATAAACAAAAATAGCTATCTATGGTGCACTTTTTTGTATGAACACATGGAACAACTTGGATAAACAACGTTAGGAGTTTGAGGAAGTGGTGATATTTCTTTGTGGTGTTCAAAACAAATTTGATTTCGCCTGGGTGACCCTATTTTTTTCTGGGAAAAGTGTGAAGTATTGAAGAATATATCACCACCTGTCTGACAGGGTGCAGGGTTTAGGTCACAGCTCATAACTGACATGTTCTGGTTGGTGGTTCGGAACATGTTTTATTTTTCCATATATTGGGAATAGTATTCCCAACTGACGAACTCCATCGTCTTTCAGAGGGGTAGGTCAACCACCAACCAGTTATGTTATATCTATAATCCCATCATATAACCATTAATAAAATCACTAAATTATTGGTATTATAACCACTATTAGTATAGTCATCACTATTATATAATCACTATTATAACCATATATAATCACTATTATAATCATTATTAGTATAATCGAGGGGTGGGTCAACCAACCAGTGTTGCTTCGTCTATCTTTCTGATCTGTCACCGTACGTGACGGAGACTCACTCTGGATGAAACTCCACACTTTACACTCCACACTTTACACTCCACACTCCACACTTTGCACTTTACACTCCTCACTCCACACTCCACACTCTACACTCTACATTTTCCACTCCACACTCTACACTCTACACTTTAAACTCCACACTCCAAACTTTACACTTTACACTCCTCACTCCACACTCTACACTCCACACTCCCCACTTTACACGCCACACTCTACACTTTCCACTCCACAATCCGCACTCCACACTCCACACTTTACTGTACACTCCACACTTTATACTTTACACTCCTCGCTCCACACTCCGCACTTTACACTCCTCACTCCACACTCCACACTTTACACTCCACACTTTACACTCCACACTTCACACTCCACACTCCACACTCTACACTTTACACTCTACACTATACACTCTATACTCCACACTTTACACTTTACACTCCTACTTTACACTCCACACTCCACACTTTGCACTTTACACTCCTCACTCCACACTCTACACTCCACACTCTACACTCCACACTCTACACTTTACCCTCCATACTCCACACTCTACACTTTACACTCCGCATTCTACTCTTTACACACTCTACACTCCCCACTCCACACTTTACACTCCACACTCCTTACTTCACACTCCACACTCCACACGCTACACTTTCCACTCCGCACTGCAGACTGGTAACAAGGGAAACATGCACAAGACTGTTCAAATAAACTATTGCAGAAAGGTTTTGTGCGTGACTGCATAACCATGTGTTTTGACATCTGTACCATTAACATACGTGTGAGCATTCGGGTTCGTGCGCTTCATCTTGTTTTTTATGCCCCATGAAGTAGTTCGATATATCATGGTATATCTACCAAAAGCCAAGTTATTGGAGTTATAAACAGTTATAAACAAAAATAGCTATCTATGGTGCACTTTTTTGTATGAACACATGGAACAATTTGGATAAACAACGTTAGGAGTTTGAGGAAGTGGTGATATTTCTTTGTGGTGTTCAAAACAAATTTGATTTCGCCTGGGTGACCCTATTTTTTTTCTGGGAAAAGTGTGAAGTATTGAAGAATATATCACCACCTGTCTGACAGGGTGCAGGGTTTAGGTCACAGCTCATAACTGACATGTTCTGGTTGGTGGTTCGGAACATGTTTTATTTTTCCATATATTGGGAATAGTATTCCCAACTGACGAACTCCATCATCTTTCAGAGGGGTAGGTCAACCACCAACCAGTTATGTTATATCTATAATCCCATAATATAACCATTAATAAAATCACTAAATTATTGGTATTATAACCACTATTAGTATAGTCATCACTATTATATAATCACTATTATAACCATATATAATCACTATTATAATCATTATTAGTATAATCGAGGGGTGGGTCAACCAACCAGTGTTGCTTCGTCTATCTTTCTGATCTGTCACCGTACGTGACGGAGACTCACTCTGGATGAAACTCGGTAAATGTGGGCATCACAGGTCGTCGTCATGTGGGCATCACACCTCCTTGATTTACACGGCCTGGTAAACGTTTACATAACTGTGGACAATCACAATTTTTAATTGGAAAATAAACTATTTCTATGGCCATTTTCAATAGTTTTTTGTAACAAATTACCAGAGGGTAATAATTGTAGCTGCGGGATGGTGAGTAGTGGAACTGTTCATTTTCAATGCTTGAGAGACAGCCTTGCACATTGGCCAGGTAGTGCCCGAGTAATTGATTTGAGGCACGGCATGGAGTTCAAACTGGAGACCTTTGCTGTTTTGCAGTCTTTTGCAATGGTTATGTTGAAGATGCTTCCAGCTTTTGCAAGGGAGATGGCTCTAAATGTCCAATATACCTTGATGAACATACCGTATTCAAGGGATCGACATGGATCAAAATCCATTTGCTAGCTATTTTGGTGTGAGGAGAAGGGAATTCCATGGATGTTGGTCCACAACCCCACTATGGCTTTGGAGATCAACTCATCGCAAGTGCCGCCCTGGTAGGTCACAAAAATTCAGCACAGTTTCAGATCGCGCGCCACCTCGTTTCATGCAGAGTTTCAAGTGGTGAAGACCCATTGAGTATCATTGAGTCCTCAAAAGGTAGACTATAGCACATGGAAATAGATCCGAATTGATTCTGCACTGTTTCCTTCAGAGTTGATTGAATGTTGAAGGGAAAATCTTAGAGGAAACTTCCATTTTGAGTAGGAAAAAACATGGTTTCCTGTAACCTTTGCAATAAACCAATCCATTGAATAATGAAGTTTGTATTCCATTTCAGCCCACACCTTGCTGTTTGGCCATCGTGCGAGTTTCCAAAGGCGTTTCGAAAGAGCCTCCCATTGGAAAACTGAGAGGTCAAAGCAACAACAATAGATAAGTTTTAGATGTTCATATAATCATATAGAATTTCCCCTTTGGTTAGTACTGATCAACATATGTCAAGGTATACCAACATGTAACAACCATGGTATGTTACAATGACAACTCATTGCTAGTTTGACGTTCTTGGGCAACTCAATGAGTTCTCATGGTGATGTGTTCATTCCCTCCGTGGCCCAAGAGATTGATGTATACAGTACATGTCTCTTGAGTTGGTTTATCTTTCTGATTTTCAAGTTTAATTAGAGATGTGAATTTGGGTTTCAGTGATCTAGCAGCTCTAGCACAATTTCGCAAAGTAACTTCAACTTGATATCCTCCTGGCGTTTTCTCAGTCAGCTTTGGTGCATGTGATTTCTGCCCTCACCAAAGATCAAGAAAGGAAGATGGACCCAAAACTTGTCACGCAGGAAAAAACGGGTATATAGATTTTTTGGCACTTCGATTGACGGTGTACAATTGTGTAAATGCAAGATAATTAATGCAAGCTCAAGATAGCTCAAGCGCTTGTGTTCTGGCAGAGCTTGGAGATGCTTGACCCTGATTTCTCAGTTCCGATGGAGGCAAGGGAAATGTCCATCACGCAGTTGCAGCCAAGGTAAGTCTGATCATAGTCAGCAAATATCCGCAAATTCTGCGTGGTTGCTACTTGAAAGTGCACTCTTCGCCAGTATTAAAATTGGCTAACAAAAAGGTATGAAATGAATCAAAATGATATGAACAAGCCTCCAGTTGTAGATCATTTTCCTTGGGTAATTCCAGGGTATCACAAGTTCCTGCATGGACAGCAACTGCTCGACTCGCGCAACTGCCGTGACGATGTTTTCCGGAGGGGATGGCCGGCCGGTGAAGATGTGGAAAGGTTGAAAATCGGATGGCAGATCAATCAACCAATATCCGAAACACGGGTTTTTGTAGATGTTTTTGTGGGTTTTCCATGGGACCCAATGCCCAAACGAAGGAGCAGAACTTTCTCTCTTCAGCAAGGATTAACGAAAAGTGGCTGCTTCCGAAAGGTGTGGCTCTAGCTTTGGAGGATCCGTAAGTTTCACTTCCAAGCGGCCCAAATGGCAACAGGGCCCACGTTGTGCCACTTGCAGGTTTCGCAGGAAATTCCCTTGGCTGAGTGCATTTTTTGATCCCAAAATGATTTCAGCTCCAGATGAGTCCTACCGGATCTTATGGGTCTTCGGGGGGTTGGTTGTCCAAAGCTGGGGTTTCATGATATTTTGGTGACAGAAAATCACGCAGGCAAGCGGATACTCAGGGTTCGGACCAGAAAAAGGATAAATCCCTGGGGCGTGCAGCAGAAAATCGCACTTATCAAGCATTGATATAAGGTTTGTCTGAAAATAGTACCCCTAAATTGGCTTGTTAATGGATCTTAATGGTAATCTGCCTCATTCAATTTCATATTTGCAGGGTATACCTCAATATCAAGATTATCAAGATATATTAAGATTAAATGATGAAATATCAATGACATGTAATTAGGCAGCGATTTTCCTATGCGTACCTATATGAATGGTCTGAATGATCTTCCGGTGGATATGCTTTCCATTTATAAAAGGTAACCTGCGTTATAATATACATTATTTTAAATAATACCCTACTGGATAAGAATAATTAAAGCGAATACCATGTGCAGAGACTTTTCTTTACCTTACAGTACTTGCAATGCAATTACAACATGTTCTCGCTTGCTCTGTGGATTTTGTTGTGCTTACATGTGCTTACGACTACTAGACATGAGAAAGGAATTGAAAATTACAACCTATTTGGCCTATTTGGCAATAAGACTGTACTAAAAACAACAATATTCGAAATATTTCGAAATTATAATATTTGACCTATTTTATTATACAAGGTAACCCTTACGGGACTACCTTGAAATAAAATGTATATAAATTTGTATTTTACAAAATAAATTATATAAATAAAATTTTTAAATTTATATATATAATAATATTTTTATTGTATAATATATAAATGGGAAAATAAAATAAATTTATTTTGGAAAATTAATAATAATTATAAATAAATTATTTATTTTGAAAAAAATAAAATAAAATAAAAATATTGTAAATATATAATAAATAAATTTATAAAGGAATTAAATAATATAATTAAAAAATAATTTAAATAATATTAATAATGAATTTATAATCTACTAAAAGGTTAGGATTTTATTTTATAGGAATTTTAAATAATTATTTTTAATAATAATTAATTTTAAATTATAAAAAAAAAATATATAATTTAAATTATTTAAAAATATTAAATTTATTAGAATTAAAAAAAAAATATATTATTTAAAAATTTATAAATGTTATTAATATTTATAAAATTTAATTATTAAAATTTTACTAAATAATATGGTAAAATAATACGGAATAATAAAGATGATATTATTTATAACCATTTTGGCTTATTTTTAGCTTTTGGAAAGAAAATATTTATTATTAAAAATAGTAAAATAAAATTAAAAAT